TATACATTGGATGAACACATCTTTCTGAATGCACGAAATGCACGTATCTTAGAAGACGCTCTTGGGGAAGATACTTCTGAGTTTCCTACTGAAGTGTTATTTTCTTCTGTGTTCAACCAACGTCGTTCAAATGCTGGATTAACTATGATAAAAGCTCTAAGGGCAGGAGATAGCATCAGAGTATGTGTTCAGCTGGGTTGTTTTAATAACATTTCATTAGGACTCCGTAGCTCTTACTACTATTTACATGTAAAATTTAAAAAAGACATGAGAAATGCACATAAACAAGGGTAATAGTCACTTGAATAAAGTTAGTGCAAAGCTTGGGCATAAGCGCAGACATTTTACAAACTTGCAGCGAATCTATTGCTAACCCTACATCTCTGGAAAAAGAAGATTTGCAGAAACCATTTTGTCTGAAGATTTAGTTTTTAATTACTGTCAGCATAATATTTTCTTTCAGGCACAGTTCTGATAAGCAATATATATCAGCAGGTAACTTGTGCATTAAATCTTTGTGCTAGAAATAGTCGTCCTCCAGCATGTACAGTCCAAGTACTGCATGATGCCATTTCTGCTGGCAGGTGACTCCTATAAAACTTCAGTTCTGATGAATATGGCTATTGTAGCTGGATTTTCTCATCTGCCAGGATATATACAGAATACATGCATTCATACAGAAAGGCTGTTTTGTCTTGTTAGCTGTCACTTTGATTTGTAAAGAACCATTATGGGGGGTCTGCAATGGTGATGCTAATATAGGGGCTGGATAACACTGCAGTTTCTGCCCTGTCATACAACAAGGGCATGCACTTGACACAGAAGGTTACCATGGTCTTGGTCATACTTGGATATTAAAATATATTAGAAGAGACAGAAACTTATGTATCTCAAGTGATATTTCTGCAGTTCTATAAAGTAGCGTGTAGCTTGTTCTGCGTTTGTATAAAATATGTTGTTGCGTATTTTCTGACACTTCATCGTAACGTAGATTTTTCAGAGCAAGCCAGGTAACAATTGCATTGGGTATCCTATGGTTCTAACAGGTTATGGCATTCAGTGACGAAATAGTTGAGCATAAGGTGGCATTCAGTTTACTGCTTTGTTAGAGTAACTACTGAAAATGAATCACTTTAGGATAAACTTCCAAAACTCATATTCCAAGAATACGACCCATTCATCACTACTGTTAGTTCAGCTTGACTTCAAGCTGTAAATATGTGAAACTGGGCTTGCTGAAAATTGTATAAATGTCCTGACTGCTATCGCTTGAGATATCAAGGAGTGCGTGGATGTAGGTAAGTATCTAAACTATTTAGCTTAGTCTGAAGTTGGCAACAGCAAATTCATTAAACTGTAAATCATGAAACATCACTCGCAAATTTTATTTTGGTAATCTGTTACATCAGCAGGATTTTCTTATGGTGTACATTATAAAATATCAGCAGAGTTGATTTGTGAGAGAAGAGCATGCAAGGCAGTTTCAAATTAGATCATAACAAAAGTAGGGTAAGGCAAAGGAATCTGTTTTTTGTTCCCTTTATTACATTTCATTTTATTACACGCTGATCTTCCGCCTGGATCCAGCTGACTCTGTCTAGTGCCATTCAGGTGTTTGCGCCGTTCTCCCCTGGGCTCCTGGTTGCGCGGGGGCCTGAAGCTGGCCCTTCATGGGGCCAGGGCGTGCCTGGCACAACTCGCTCACTTGCGCTTTGAGCCTCACTCCTGATGTGTTCATGTCTCGTCCATTTCCTGCTTAACAGGAGAAGCTCCTAGCTTTTCAATATCCCCTTAAAGTCATTGCAAGGAGAAGCTTCCATCTAGCCACTTGGCAGTGCCTTCAGTTTAGTGCTGCCAGTGCTTTTGAAGTCCTGCTGATGTCCTGTTATCCGAACTGGAAATCGCTTCCTTTTGATGCTCTCTAGCAGGGCTTTTCACCTCACCTTAGCGGGTGATTTGCTGCTTGCTTACAGCATTGAAGTTGGAAGCAGAGAACAAACAGGCAGGGAGCTTGAGTGGTTCAGAATTTTTTCCCAAATTGCAGGCTGTCATGTTTGGTGGGACCTAAAAATAGCTGTAGTTGACTCCGCCCCGCTATGACTTGCTTCCAGGAATATGTTGAGCTAATGAATGTGAAGTATATTTAATACATGTACAGTCTATTTCCTACCATCTTTCAAATTCTCCCAGTGCCCTTAAGAGTTTTAAAATTGTCTTTTTTTATCCAGTTTTCTGAAATAAACCTTTAATTTTAATGTGACCTGATTTAATGTGGGATGAAATTCTGTTTCAGATAAATCCAAACAACTTGACTTCTATAGGTACATCTTCCAGCACTCAAAACAGTTGCATTTAATAATTAAAAAGTCAATAATCTCGCAAGTGTATTGGAGAAGTCATTTTCCTTTCTTACAGGACTTTGTTGTGGTCATGCATTTTTCCTGAACCTTCAGAATTGCCTTAAAAGCATTGCTTGAACGTTGCCACATGACTGATTTTACAGCAAGCAACATTTGTCATGCTTAAAATGACTAACCAATATCAGCATTTAACAGGTTTTCTATGTGATATATAAGCTGTTTTACTAGTTATGTACCAATGATATCAGTAAGCTGTTAAGTTTTATATAAAGGTACACAGAACTAGGAGCTTCTCATCTAAAAAAGTGGATGCCTGTGAGGAAGAAACAGTATTTGTATGAGTCAGAAGGGGCTAATTAGCACCTTCTATGACACATATTTTAGCAGTCAATGCATTTCTTGAAGTTTGAAGGCTTTAGACTAATGCAGAAGAAAGCCACTTCAGGAAAAAGGATTTGCAGTACGTTCTGAGGAGATTTAAACAAGCAGCTCTGTTTGTAAACTGCTGGAAGAGCCCATCTGATGATGTAATTTCTTCTCTGATGAAACATCCCTGCATTTCTCTCTGCTGCTAGACAACCAGTTTTGTGTTCTCCAGACATCAAGACTTTATTCATTAACATCTCAGTATTCATGCTTTGGTGGGAGAAACAGCGCAGGTTTCTTTTATGCAGGGTCTTGATCTTTGATGAGGCAGTGATGTCGATTGTTTGACCACTAACCAAATTGGTTTTGGCTTTACAGTCTGCTGTTGCTAGTGCATTTACAACTTGCATCTTATGCCTTTTGTTAAATATTTCACACATACAAGTGGCAATGATTGAAATTTAACATGCACGTTTCCCGAAGCATTACCTAAAACAAAATCGTATATAATGTATATATTATATATAAGAATATAAGCAAGACAGTTGTTGAAAATGTGCTTTTTAAGGACATATTGTGGGTTTTCATGGTCTCTCACATTTGACGCTTGCCTTTCGTTGTCTCAATACAGTAATCTTAACAGTTTCTTTTATGAGCCTAAATTTTGCATTTTAATGTACATTTATTAGCCTTAAATTTTGCATTTTAATAAAAGTCTGAGATATATTCCCCAAGCATTTTGGATACGAATGTAATGGTATGGATATCTTAAAATTCAGTAATTGTTCTGGTAAGCTCATGATGACAACTTTTAGAGAATACACTGTATTACAAATACAGAGGTCATAGTTTTACTGAGGTACAAATCAAATTTGATTGATCAAGCATAGCATGTAGAGGCAAGGCGACAACTTTCCCTCTGAATGGGCTCAAGGAATGATGTTTATATTGTTGTGGGACTCCAGAAGAGATTATGCTGCTGAGGACAGTCACTTAGATGTTATGATTTTGCTCTGCTATGTAAATAGGTTTGTGTTTATACTACAGAGCCCAACCCTATTAGTTGTAAAACAAATACGAGATATGAAACAATGTTTTTCATAAGATTTCAAATCCAGAAGTGTCATCAGTATCTATACTGACTCCTGAAATGGGGGGAAAAATTGAGCTTCAGCAAGAAGAAAAAAAAAGCTGGGCAGATTTTCTTCAGTGTGAATCTGGATATTCGGGGCAGATAGCTGTGCTGGTACTGTAGAAGACTTACATCAAAGGGAACCTTAATGCAGCTACGCTCTCTCTTAGCTGGCTTTGAGTCACGTAGTCCAGAAGAGATTGGTCTTTGGTTTGGGAAAGCAGTTCAGCTGTGCAGCTGCTGAAGAGGATTGGACTGAGCTGTCAGTCACTGACCCGGATACCTGCACTCTGAACTGTCTGACATGGGGATGTAACACCGTACCTTTCTGCTGCCTTTGCATGAAGTGCAAGGCAGTGGGTTGTCAGGTCCACATAACTGATTCCTTCAGCCTAGGTGAAGAGTGTTGTGACCCACCTTAAGGTAATGAATACAGCATGAAGCCAAAAAGGTCGAGGACATAGCTGAGACCAGCTGTGCCTTTATTCTTCCTGGGTAGTGTGACTAAAGGGAAAAGAAGACATTCGGTATAAATGCAGCATTATTCTCAAAAGTAGTTGTTTAATTTTATACAACAAACCAAATTCTGTGGCTTCTCCTTCTTCTCTTTCTCCCTCCCTCCAAATATAACAATTTCATTTAGCCTTACCACATCAAGACTAGTTGACAAGAAACAACTGGAGTATTTGCAATTATTTTAAACTGTAGAGATTTGTTCACTGCTGTCCCTAGAGGCCTAAAATGCTGTTTCTTTGCCTCTTAAATTCCTATTAGTCTTACTTTCTCCATCATTATGAGGGTGATCATGTTTCTGTTCCTCTCATTAAGTCACAAGCTGTCTTGATTTTTTTTTTTAATTTCCAGCCCAGGCATTTCTTATGTAAAAACAAATCCTGCTCCCTCTAGTTTGAGTATGAATGATTATAGCAAACAGGTTTTGATCTATATAAGTAAAGTCAAATGTTATCAAAGCTTTGCTTTCACATGGTATTTCAAAAGTGAAAAGGAATATCAGGACTAACTAAATAAGGTGGATTGTGCATTTGCAGACTGTCTGAAATAAGAAGTGCACATATTTCATGTAGTAACACTATTACTAAATAAGTCTTGTAATTTTCTTTTTGTTGGTTTGTTATCAGGATCCATACTATAGATTTAATGATGTGATGTACAGATGGATCTCACTGGATAACTGGACTTACAGCAGGACATTCAAACCTCCTTTTGACGTCCGGTATGCAGTAAAGATATGTCTAAAATAGTTCTGTGCCATCTTTCATGCAGAATTGCTAGTTAATCCATCAGCTCAAAATCTGCTTAATACTTTTGTATCTAATAAAACAAATTATGCAATAATGTGCAGCTGCAAAGCTGTTGCTAAAGAACACTTCAATAGTTGCTTTTTCCTATTTTTTTTAATTGTTAAAAATTACTTATGAATTGCCAACTAAGGAAGGATAATACTTAGGCTAATTGGAAACTAGCCCATCTGATATCTGGTAGGTATGTGAACATACTCTATTGCAGACTTGAGCCACTTCAGCTGTCATCTTAATTTGACTATTTAAAGATATAATGTAGCCACACTAAGTCAAATATTTTTGGTGGTGGTTGAGACAACTGCTGCTAAAGGTAATGGTGACATACATTTTATGTTGTCTGTCTTCTGTGTGTTGTTAACGCTAGGTATTCTAATAGTTTTTTATGCCTATGTTATCTTCTATAGAAAGTGGCAGAAAGTGAATTTGGTTTTCGAGGGAGTAGATACAGTAGCACAGATTCTGATCAACAATATCACTCTTGGGAGAACAGACAACATGTTCAACAGATATGTAAGTAATGTGTTTATTTCTGAAGGTGCTTCTGTTTTTTCTTTGAAGCCCTTTTGTGCTGAGCGCTTCCAGTGCATTCAAGTACACATAAAAATAGGTCCTTGGACGCAGAAAGTGTTGACCTGAGGACTGCATGTGTAATCAGGTAACTGTTAGAAAGAGAAGTGTACTTACCTTTTCAGTAGCAGCAGAGTCAGATCTAGAGGTGAATGTGTCTTGTTCTAAATGAGTGGACCCATGCAAGAGGATCAGTTCAGCTAATAATATAAGTCTTGATTCTTGAGATCTGTCACAGCTCCAAGAAAACGTAAGCTTAAATCTGTTATATTAGCTGTAAATCTGCTTACTAATTGGTATTAGAATGGTTTACATGTGAATACTGAAATGACGATGCACATGTTGCAAAGCCTTTGTAAGTGTTTTCATGCTTTTTTTTACATAGGGTTTTTTGATTTTTAATATTGGGCTTTTGATAACATGCATTTTTGGGCTTAGCCTATGTCAGCATGAGAGTACTCATCATGGAATGATCTTGAGAGTGGCAAAAACAATCAAACTAATTTTATAGCTTTAAAATATAAAATTATTCTGGGTACTAGCATAAGGGACAATCCTTGCTTTTCTCTTAAAACAATCAAAAAAGGAAAATTTAAAGGAAGAATGTTAGTGGAATAACTGAATTACAAAGGAAATCTGGAGTCTTCATATCTCAGCATTTACCATTCTGGCAGGTTTTATTGCAGAGGTACCGGCCTGAGACATGAGAGCTAGATTTTGCCACCTGGGTCTGTGTGACCTGGGACAAATCACTTAGTTTCTCTGTGACTTAGTTCTACCATCTGTGAAATAAGAAATTTCATAGCGCTTTTATGAAATTGTCATTATTTACTATTTGGAGAGTTTATAAAGGATAGCCAGCAGCAGGGTCTGTAGAATTGGAAAGTGGTATTATTTTGCCCTTACTTCTGCAGCTTCATTCTGTTTCAGATTGTTACAGTTCATGAAATGGCCTTCACTGTAAAACTAGAGTGAACTGTATTAGATTGAGTCTAGGATTACTGTGACCCAGACTTCTGCTTTGTTCATCTGTTCCACATGACAACTACGTCTGCAAGAAGGACTCTGTGAAGGCTCTGTATGGGGGATGCTATTTGCTTTGTAATTTTCTGCTGTATGCTACAGATGTATGTGACGCTAGCTGGGCTGCTCACAAGTTGGAAAAAATTGCCAAGACTTGGCTTGTCACAAATTAACACTGTGAAGAAGAAATGGGTATTAGCCATTGGAACCATATTATCTTGATAGCACAGGATAATTCTGAAACCAAACATTTATCCTTCTATCCAGCCACAGTGAAGGGGATTTTGTGAGCCAGTGAGGAAGCCCCCCCAAAATGCTTTATTTGGTGCTGGCATAGAATGCGTATCTGTACATTTTGGGGATGAGAGTGCAGGTGGCATGAAATACAGCTTTGCAGCATTCATGCAAAAGGCAGCTCAGTGTTTTGCGGTAGATAAACTGGCAGCACAGTGTGTGTTGGAAGGACTCCTGAATAGACCAGCTTTCTGAGTTGGAACAAGGTGTCTTTCTAAAGATGCAGATGAGTTCTGACTGAGGAAGGAGGGTAAAGATTCTCTTGCCGACCTTATCCTTCAAGCACTTCTGTGTGCAAGCAGAGTGCTGCAGCCTGCAGTGGGGGCTCAGTATGGGGAAAGTGGTTTGTCCAGAAACATCTTGTATCTGGGAATGTTACTGTGTATTTTCTGTTTTTCAGCTTAAGAAGTAGCTTTTCTTTTCCTTCCAAAACCAGGGCCTGTTGAGACTGTAGTTCAAATGCCTTTAAATAATATATGTATGGTATTAAAATCCCAATGTAACAGTGATTATAAATCTCATAAATAAATGTCAGCACTGTAATGATTTTGTTCTGTTTTCTTGACCTAGAGCTTTGATATTACCAGCATGATCAAGGAGGTCAATTTTATCGAAGTCCGTTTCTTATCAGCCGTTTCATATGCAGCAGAGCAGAGCAGATGTCACAAAGCATACAGCATCCCCCCGGCGTGCCCTCCACCTGTGCAGAAAGGAGAGTGCCATGCTAATTTCATCAGAAAGGTAGGGGCAGAATTGTCTGTGTCTGGCTTCAGGCTTGGAAAGAGGAATGCACCATGTGCTGTCCTTACAGATGTATTCTGAAACCTGCAATGTCATTTTATAAGTAGGGCATATTTTTCATAACAGCTTCCGTCTCCTGTCCCCCCCCAGAAACCTGTAATCCATGTCGATAATACAAGAGGCGTAAGAAGGCCAGCCTTCATATCTAGGTGATAAGAATGTTTAAAAGGCTGTTTTCATCAAGGAGTTGGCAAGGAGACTTGCTGCTAAGAGAGCAGGATAGCATTGGGAAATGTGTAATCATTACATTTTGATCCACTGGGTGGGTTTAGCAATGTATGCTGACAATAGAGTTCACACTTGCAAAACACCAATGTAGTTTGCCAAGGCTGTAAAAATCTCAGCCAAGCAGCTTTGTGAGTGTTTGCTATTGCTCATGTGCTGTGCTATTTATACTGGGCAGCTCTGGCATGTCCCGAGAAGTGTAATCTAACAGAGGACCTGTTCTCATCTTATTACGGTGTTGTGAAGTGTGACTTATAAGTACGTATTCAGTGAAAACAACAATGTAATATACAATGATTGAAGCTCAGAAATTCTGATTTAAGACATGGCTTCATTGCTGTTAAAACTTACTCAAGGCAAACTATCATTTGAGTAGCATCTCATATATTTCTGATAGCTTTGCAGCAGCTAGAGACAATAGCTAGGTGATCTTATTTTGGAATTTCTCTTTTTGGGTGTTTTTGCATGTTTGTCGCCCCTTAAATGCCTTTCTTCTTAATTATTTTTAATCTTTTCAATAAAGTCATTTCAGAGCCTCCTCAAAAAAAAAGACTGGAATCCTGTTAATCTAAACCTGGATGTGATTTCGTTTAAAATTTGTTAATGGAAAGATGGACTCCATGTTGTCCTGGGAAGATCCTTCAGGATTAAGATATTGTCTTCATGACTACTTGCTGCTACCTTCATTTTCCCTGCATTTTAGAAAGTTGATTAATTCTTCTGAGTCCACTGTGTTTCTTAGAAATCAGTGCAGGAAGGAGCTTGGAAGGAAGAAGGCACTTAAACAGCTGAAGTCTTATTTATAGAGCAAAAATGGCCAGGAATGATTTTATGCTTTACTGAACTATACTTTTAAATTTGTAAGAAAGTACCTTAGTGCTTTTCCTCAAAGGAGTTGTTTGACTGTACTTGAAAGCTGCTCCAGACATTTCCAGAAACATTTTTGTTTCCAAGTATATGGCAACAACAGCAGCGATGTCACATTTAAAAGTAAACAAACATACTAGGACATTGCTAAAGTAAGCTGGCTGCTTACCATCTTAAAGTAATGGAGAGCTGTTTACACATTTGAGGTTCAGTATTAAGTGCAGCAAACGTACCTAAATATTAATAGGAATTTGTGGCAAAACGCAAGCCTTTCACTGGTAATGTACTTCAGTGATACAAGCTTATTGTTCTTACGACATACTATTTCTGATAGCGGTCTCTGCAATATTATTAGTGAAACCTGACAATCTGTCAGTGATTCATTTGTTTATTTTTTATAAAGGGAAAATTACTTTCAATCTGACTTGTTTTCTAAGAATGTGTTGTCCCTGTTTTTACACTTGAAATAGGTACAGTGCTTGCTTCCTGGAAGGCTCTTTTGCAACTTGATAGGCAGGCAGGCTGACTCCAGCGATGCAAGGGATAGGCCAGACTTGTGCAATGTGGTTTGCCAAAATTAGTATGCCTCGGCTGTAAGTTATTAGTCTCTAAATTTAGAACTGTAGGTCACTGTACAAGACTCTAAGGAGATCTATTGTATTTGCTTTGGGGGCTGGGGCTGTGTGAAGCTTGGAGGGCAGCTGAATAGATGTCTTCAAGGGATTTGTTAACTAGAGGTCTGACCAGGTTTGAAAACAGCTAAATGGAAAGCATTGTTGGTACCTCTCTGCCTGACCAGAATTTTATAATTCTGACAATTATTCCGATCTTAGAACCAGAACTAAGCTATTTCTCAACCATGTTTTTGTTCCCTTTGTTTTTGTATAAGAGAACCATAAAAAGGGGAGAAACAGTGAACATGACTGAACTATGCAAATGCACCAGACATATGCACCTCTTTCCGTGTACTAATCGGTGGTGTTACAACAAAATATAGGGGACAAAGTGTTTCAGATATACCCATGATTTTTAATTTGATATTGTTCTGTTAGAATACTTTAACATTTGTAATCATCAGTTTTCTGCTTAGTTCGTCTTTTAGGTATACAATTAAATACTGACATTACAAACTAAGATAATTCAGAGCTGAATTCAGAGTAACCTGCTGGCTTGGTTTTTTGATCTTCACTGTTTTTTTTTCAAGTGGTGAACTAGGTGGTGTTTTGTGCTCTCACTAATATAAAATTTTGCTGTACGTGGATATTTAATACAAAATTGTAGTTTTTATATAATATAAGTAGTAGCAGCAGAGTTTGGGTCAAGAAATAAGAGAAAAAATGCTGTGGGCTCTTCTGGGTTTATGGAAATCGGAAAAATTCTTTCAGTGCATGGCAATATTTTATTTCTAGATAGCAAATAATTTTTATTTCTGGGACAGCATCAATGTCTGTATGAAAAATAGGCAATTGTAACATAATCATTCTGTATTCCAGGAGCAGTGTTCATTTAGTTGGGACTGGGGCCCTTCTTTTCCCACTCAAGGAATCTGGAAAGATGTTAGGATTGAGACCTATAACCATTATCACCTGATTTACTTTTCTTTGACTTCTTTCTTTGGTAAGTGGTGTTACTACTTTTTATTATTGTTTCACCTTTGGAATACAAACCATTTTATTGTTAAGCTCAATGAACTGTCAGTTTAGGAAAGGTTCTTTTGTTTTATTATGGCTTTGTGTATAGTTCTTACCACAGCACACCCTTTTAGGTCTTGAAACAGTACTTCAGTACAAACAATAGTGATTAAAAATGTTAGAATTCAGAATCTTTTTTGGCTTGAAGGTCCCCGAATAACTGCAGAAATATATGTGGTATAGCTGAGGTTAGCCCCTGTTCTCCTGTTTTGAAAAATTTATTTTTTATTGGCATGTGTTTTCACCAAGACTTGCAATAAATACGCCTCACTTTTGTTTCAACTCCATTTAAAACAAAGGCAAAGCTGCTATGGGAATTTAGTTTTGTGTTGGGAAGACAAATGCACAGTGAGCGGAGTTTCAAGAGCGCTGAGTTTTCAGGGCACAACATGAAGTCTGAGAGAGAAGAGCAGTCGTGCTATGCAAGGATAATTTGTTAAGGCTGCAATTTGAGAGGATAGCCTCCTGCATTCCTTCTACCTAACTTACCTAACCGGTTTCCTCCCTTGACGTGGTCTTTGATTTTCCTCTCCTCATTGCAGCTGAGCAAAAGTAGTTAATTTTCTGTTGAAACTTTCTGTAAACGGTACTATGCCCCATTGTAGACCACCCGCATGCTTTCTTTCACTGCCTGTTGAGCCCAGTCTTCAGTGGAGTAAAAGCTAGCACGTGAGTCCCCTGCACTGGGTTGAATTTCAGCCCTTGGGAATAGAGTTGTTGTGTATGAATAAAAGAGGAAGACGTCACTCCCTGGCTGCTTTTAAAGCTTCCTGAAATAGCTGCAGGTCTTAGCTAGAATTAACGTGACTGGAATTTCCATGGAAAGCCCCAGCACAGACTCTGTGTGCTCTCTAAAATTTAGTTACAGTAAAAATCTTTTCTGGTCCCTCCCACATTCCCACAACTCCACCTTCTGGTAGGTAAAGTCTTGGTCTCTGGATAAGCAGAGAGAGCAAACCTCTTTCATTCAGCAGAGAGTGGTTTGGAGCCAGAGTTTATTAGTATTCAAGCATAATAACATTTGAAAAATAACGAGTAAATGAACAACTTGAATTTAAGCTGCCTATGCAGTTATATTGCTCATCAGATTTGATGCCATAGCCATTTGGCCACTGAATCTGTAAAAGATTCATTGTTCTTGATTTCTGTGCCTAGACCCCACAGTTCATGCAGTTAACAGTGGGCTGGAATTTCTATATGCCCTTGGAGGGAAGGGAAAACACATTGTAATGGCTGACCCTTGCGGGATGGGGTGGGTGTTTTTATAACCTCTTCAACATTTCTGAAAATTGGTCTTCCCTGAGTAATGCTAGGAGTAATATAAACTTGGGAACACATTCGTTGCTCTTCATTCTACAAAAGACAGTGTAAATCACACCAGGGCTGAGTGTAATTCTTTGCTTTTGGAAGGAGCTCTCTTTCTCTCTTGGAGGAAGGAGAGCTAGAATATATACATGAAAAGAGAAAGTAAGTGATTTGTAGTTTGTGTATACAAAATGTGTCTTAGTTTTAGTTTTCCTTGTTTTCTGTTTTATTTGCTTTTGCTTAGATAGATGTTCATCTGTAATATTTGAAGTATAGGATTAGCCAGGCTATGTTTGTAGATAGGTAATTTAATTGCTGAAGTTAATGGGAAATTTACATGTTAATCTTGAGTACCCTTGACCCTGGCTTGCCTTATTCAGTAAGTTCTGTAAAGGAGAGGACCCTCCGAGGTAACTGTAGAGAGATCTCAGGGAAGTCATTAACTTGTTTCCTCCACCACACTTTGGTGACAGAAGGGATGTAAAGATGCAGCCCGTCAAGTCTAGACACAATGGGCCCAATTCATCCCCAGCATAACTCCATTCATTTTGTCTAGTGACTCTGAGATGAATTCGGCTCATTTTCTGTTAATACTGTTTTTGTTTCATCAACAAAAGTGATTGTACTGCCGTGTGATTACGATCTTTCCCAAAGGATACCATGTTCATACGAGTGCTGACTAAAAGCAAATACAATGTCTATGGGAGTTGGTGGGAAAAAAATCCTTCCTAATGAAGTGACTGGTGTCATGGTCTCTGACTTTTGTACAGAACTCTGAAAAACCCCTGGATGGCTCTCAAATGAAAAAAAGAGAGAGTTATAAAACATGAACCGTATTGCGTAGTTCTCTTCCGAGTCAGTAAATGTAAACACAGATACCAAATGCACTAAACAAGAAGATTAACCTAGTAGGTGTGGTTCAAACACGGCCTGAAAATTGTTAAATTTAATCTGAGGTGTTTGAATTGTTTCTTTGATGAGAGATCATGTTAACTAATAGGTTTCTAAACACAATTCCTAAATTCCCATTTTTTCTCCCCCCCTTCACTTAGTAAAGAGTGCTTGGCAGTGGAGTCTTGAAATCGAGTCTATTTTTGATGTAGTCGGCTCCAAGCCAATTGAAGGTCTTGTGACTGTGAACATTCCCAAATTGCAAACGCAGCAAACATTCAGTGTGAAGCTTCAACCTGGAGAAGGCAGCATTGTGCTGCTTGTAAACATCAACAAGGTAAGGAGGTATGTGTGGAACCCTAGCCAACTGCAAAATGTTTCCCCTGGTTTCCAATGTGTCTTTCTGCCTCCGTGCCAGTTTTAGGCCTCCCTCCCCTTCCTTTCTATGTTCCTGACTTTAACAACAGTTCTGTACCACCCTTACAGATCTTTTCCTCTCTAAAAATTGATGTCTGTGGGGCTACATAGCTCAGAGTCAAAAAGATGATGAAGCCTTTCCCTTACTGCAAAACAAAAAGATCACGTCACCGCCGGCCACTGTTAAATGAGCTACTTAGGTAGATAACCTTTGGATAACCCTGTGTCACTTCACTTAAGTGGCAGTCTTCCATGCTATTGTTTACTGGTCTGATTGGGACTAGAATGTACTACAATATGCATGGCTCTGGCAGGAAAGAAAGGAAACATTCCTCAAACCTCTCAGTAGCTACTCTTTCAGGCAAATAAAAGCAAAAGAGTCCTATAAATAACTTGACTGGCAGTAAGGTTGGTGGAAATTTTGTGGAGTAGTACTTCCTTACACTGGCTTATAGTCCCTTGGGTAGACAAAACTCATGAGGAATTTTAGAGAGGTAAAGGATGCTTTAATGAGGAGAGAACTCAACTGAAAAATGATGAATTTGGTATACACCCCAGTGATGAAAGAGGAAAGAATTGGTCTGCTTACCTTCAGAGGTTGTTGGGAAACTATCTGGTGGCAGACTTAATTTACCAACATTACTTCACTTCTATAGAATTTTTTTTGTGTTTTTTTTAGAAACTGTTGAGTTTTATCACACAGGTGTAATTAAGAAAAGATATATAGACTTGAGAGATGAAGAAAATCAGTGTGTCTGTTCTTGTTGACAGATAGGTAGGTGTCTTGAATTAGGCAGTGAGCCCAGTGTGGCAAAAAGAAGCATGAACTTTGTCTTGGCTTCTTGCTCAGAGAGCAGGGCCCTAGTAGAGCTGACTGGGCAGAACTGAACCTGACAGTGGCAGGCCCAGGCCAGCGGGCAGGGTGGGAGCCCTGGCAGGTGCAGCGGCAGCAGCAGCTGATGGTGTTCTCCACTGGAGCCAACAGTGTAATGGGAGCTGCCGTCTGTTCCACTGCCACAGGGCACAAGTTAGATTTGTGGGTGAGCGATGTGCTGTGAGCAGGGATCTGGGGCTTCTGACAGTTCTGGCAGTTAATAACGTTTGAGGGTCTGCCCTCAAACTTTTGTATATTTTACTGGCTCTACTGATTTTCCGTATTGCTGTGTAACTCTGCATTTGTTTCCCCAGTTTGAATGAATTACGTGTGTATTCTCAAGTTCTCTTGTCAGTTGTCTGAGTGGAGAAAAAGCATGTGCTAAAGGCAGGCAGGGTATTTATGTTCTAGTATGCACACTCAGTGACTTGCATACTTGTGTGCTTTGTTTTATTTTGACACGAAAGCATAAAAGCATACAAACATATGATTTTTGTTACTGTTGTCATCTGACATGCAAGTTGCATGAGCAATTACAAATACCCAGTTTCATTTAAAACAATCATTAGTCTCTGCTTAGCCTTTTCAGGGATTACATTAAGCAGGCACTGCAATGTGAAACTTCAAAAATTATTTTGGTTTATTTAATTGCCCCACCCCCAACCTCAGAAGAAATCTGCAAGTTTGTGAGGAAGCACTTCTTTCAGAGCAGAGGCAAGAGTGTTTTATTATTCTTTGTACACAAAAGGCTTTGCTGCATGAATTCACATCAGCTGATTTTACAAGAAGCCCCGCAATGTCTTCTCATGTATCGATGAGCCTAACGGAGCCCTTACTCTGTATTACAGACTTGCGTGGTGCAGTGAGACCTCACCAGAAATTTATTTCTAGTTGAGAGCTTATTGCAGATTATATTGCGAAGTCAGTAGATGTTTGAGTGGTGTGTATCACCCAAGATGTGTAGCAGTGTTCCTGCAATTGCCACACAAAGTGCTGTGTTGTTAACATGACAGTATTTTGCTTATCAGCTACTGGTGAGCATGGGGATGACATCATTAGTGGCCAATGAGACATTCCAGCCGTGCCAGGCGGCTGCGAACACTCCCCTGTTGTTGAGGCACACGCTGATTTTGTGCTTCCACTTGTATCCGTGCAACACAGAGATTAGTACTTCTGCACAAGCAGTTACGATAATTCCGTGTTGGGGAAGCTGAAATGTTAGTAGATACATTCATGATTGTGTCCCAGTATGACTACAGCAAAACATATTGTTGGGCTGCTCTCTGGCCTATTTTATTTGAAAAGATTGAGGCACTCCTTACATGACTCTATTCAGTGCTGATCCCTCCATTGTTTGGTTGCATGCATTATTGCTTTCTTTCCACGATTTTTGTGTTGTGCACTCAACTGGCAAATGTTGGCAACAGGATTGAGCAGCGGAAGTAGGCTGCTGGAACGAAGATATAAATATTACCCTGTGACTAGAAAAATGAGAAAATTAAATCATTCTGTCATCCTAGAGGTAGTTTTTTTATGTTTATAAAAATTATGGAGTACTAATGATGTGATTGGGAAACATAAAGAAAAAGCAGAAAACACTGAAAAGAAAGAATGAAACTTACAATTTGACTTAAAAGCTTGACATAAGTGAAGCAGTCAGTATGGTCACATATTGCCAAAGTCACAACTGAAAAGTGTCACCTCTGTGTATTGAATGTTGTATGTGATAGGTAAAAGGGTCAATGAGAGGAGGGGTATGATACAGAGGCTAGTGAACAGTGTCTGCTCCTGACACAGATGTTTGAGTTTTGAAGGAATATTCTGTCAATGTACCTCAGCTGAGAGGTAGCAGCTAGATGTGCACATGCATGTGTATGCATGCTCATGGCCTGCTGTGGACAGAAAATGAAGTGATAGCCTGGACTATAATACTTCTCTCTTTAAATAATTCTCACCTCAGAGCTGCAGCTGGAGAGATCCCAGTTACCATGGGTCACCTGAGGCACATAAACTCATTAGACTTGTGGTAATTCACCCAAAGATATCTGAGCCCCTAGGTGCATGTTATACCTCTTTTTATACAGATTGCTCTGACTTTGTCTCTTGTATGTTCAAGAGTTCTACAGTAGAGGCTTGGTGGCCAAATGGACATGGAAAACAAACTGGATACAACATGACAACAACTTTCATCATGGAGTCAGGATACCAGATTGAGAAATTTTCAAAGGTGAGCCCTTCAGCTTGACTATAGCTGGCATTGCACTGCTACTGTTAGGACATCTGCTCTGCATAGCAGGTATCTAGAGCTTTTAAATATTTTGCTGGATTGTAATATGCACATGAAAATGCTAATGAGAAATGAGTTTTTTTTAATGTATGTTTACCTGTTTTCTGGTAGCCTTAGCTTTTATGAACACCTTTACTTGCATTCAGACTGGAAGATGGCTTACAGTTAGTTGGAAACCTCAGAAAGGAAAAGATGTTTACTACTTAAGTTTTCTATCTTATGAAAAAAAGCACTTTTAAACTTGATATATCTGCTGATGGTTTTTTATCATGCACCGAAAAACCCTTTTAGATTTCTATAGATTATGTGAAGATTTATTACTGAGATTTTTCTTGTTAATTCAATTTTTAAAAAATTTGCGGGATAGACATATACCTAAAAAGCTAACATACATTCGTTTATTAGAATGTGATAGATGTGCTTCAGGTTTAAGAAGAGGTAACATCTTAAATATGACCATGAAAGTAATATTCAGGGATATTTGCATAAGGGTTCCTGCAACACACTGGCTGTATAATTATCTGTTTGTTTTCACTAAGAAGCCTAGAAGAGGTATTTTCAATTGTCCATTTAAAAAAAAAAAGCATACAAATTAGACTGCGCTCCTTATGGCATCAACATGTGGAAACAGCCAAGTAAATTTACACAGTTATTAGGTGGTTCTGATGCGTATTGCTTCACTAAAAACTAATCTAGTCACCAGGCATCTAAAACTGCTATTTGCTGTAACATTTGTTCATGTGAAAAATCCTATGAAAAGCAGTAGCTTCTGGAGTCCTAGTCTTTATAGGGCTAGCCCTTAGTTTGATTATGAAGTCATAATAATAATTCTTCACTATTATTAGTGATTTAATTTTGAAACAATTAAAAAAACACACCAAATAAACACAGCATATTATGCTTGGGAAAACTGGTTGTAGGAAATACAGCTATAAAGCCTGTAAAAAGGAAAATTCTGTTGTTGCTGTGTGAAAACTGTACAACGATAGGAAAACTAATTGATTCCACTTGGGTAGTTGCGTCAGGATATTTCATAGAGCCCTGTGGCATATGATCATAGGGACTTCATGGTCTACAAAAGATATTCAGAAGCCTCTTCTGTTTTTTCTCCTTGAAGGGAAAAAAAGGAAATACACCACATAGTGGGCATTATAAATTAACCAGCATATGAAGCCTTTACAGATTCATAGTGTAAAGTGTAGTCTTCCTTCATGTGTTCTGTGAAGCTCTGTCTTGGATTCTTACAGAGACACACACATCCCACCACCACCACTACCCCCTGCCCCTAGCTGTATGAGTGGAGAAAGACTCCATACGCCGTTTTTTTCATGTTCTAGCACAATTTGCTCTCATGTCAGCAGGACTGAATAGCAACATTCATATGGTTTAATAAGAATTTTGAGTAGTTCAGGAGATACGATCGGGGATAAATGTTCCTGAAAGTTGTTGTTCTGTGGTCCACCTAATACTGTTCCTGCTCCCGCCGGCTTTTTAAAAAAGAAAAAAATAGGGGAGGGACATTTCACAAGTGGTTTGTCTCTATATGAGTATCTATATAACTTTGGTGAAAACCAAAGGGCAAAACCTGTATATGTGAGAAAACACATATGGTCTTATGTTGGATTTGGCTACCCTTAGCTTGAAATACTCTCTTGTTTCTGACATTAACGTTACAGTAGTCTCCAAAACATCAACTACTCCTTTGGGAAAATTTCTGGGTAGCCTCCCAGTATGTACTTGTGGGAGCTCTATAGAGCTCTAGCCAGCTGTGCTGGGAACCTCTCTGACTGAGGGAAATAACTACTCATTCCTGTTGAGAGTAGCAGAAAATCAAAACAGAATAAAGCCAACATCCAGAACAGGGTTGGTTTTGGTTTTGTTTTGGTTTTCTATTTGAATATTTTGGTTTAGAGTTTGTTTCTCAGGTGAATGTGAAACAAAGTCGTAGCCAAAAATTATCTCTGAATGAAATTATATTTCTTGAGGGAGGGTCTATCCAGTCCTGTTTGCTATTGATAAGTTGTTTTTCTTCTTGCCATGCCTACATCAAGGAATTTATTACCTCTTTCATTGCCTTGTGAGGCATTTGTTTGCTTTTTGATTCTGTTTCCCTAGCTTTCCGGGGAATTTCTTTAACACTGTAATTGGAGTTTTTTATTTCATGAGGCTATTTTAGTACTTGAAAGATCTTAACCTCTACCTGCCTTTCCCTCCTTCCCTCTATACCTTCTTTTCCCCACAGGCCTTTTAGCACGACTTCCAGAAGTCTTTCCTTTTGGCTTTGTAGTTTTCACACCGCTTTCATGCTGTGTGCTAATTTGTTAGGTCACTGGGGCGTTCTATGATCTTATTTCAGCTCTGGGCATCTTTTTCCCTACTGCTAAATCTGGGAATGTCAAATGTGATACACAGGTCACTTAATTGGGTACAAAGCCTTTGTGTGTGACTCAGAAAGACAGGTATCTGTTTCTTAATTGTGCATAGAACCAGCTGATTAGTCTGTGGTGGCTAGAGAGCCTCTTCTGTGTGCTCCAAGACTGGGGGAAATGTTCAGTCCTAAGGCGGCAAGGTCTGTCAGACAGATTTAAAGGTGGCCAAGGTCTCAGTAGCCAGAAAGGCACATAACCAACCATGCCAGATGCTAGTTGTCTCTCCTTGCCCTTCTTTTACCCCACAAGGCAGAAAGAAGCTGCTATAGGAACAGGAAGAGGTGCTGTGTTACCAGGTGGGCCCCTGGGGAGCAATGGAGTAGGAACACAAAGGCACTGAACCCTGGAGGCCTGGGAATGTGAGATGGGGCTGAGGAGCTTTTTCTCTTGCTCGTGCTCTATGGGTGGTCCTGGCTGGGTGTTTCAGCCTCTCAGATTGCCTCGGATTTGGCCAGTTGCATGAGTTCTACTTCAGCATGAATAAAGCAATATCACGTTACTTCTGTTAGTAATATAAATACTCCATTACAAACGTGCTCTGAGACAGTCCCAACCTGCCCAATGACATCCATTAAGAGGAACTCCCAAATACTTTGGGAGCCCCAACTATAAATCCCATTCCATTTTGTGCCACAAAAAAGAGCTACTCTGGAGGCTGAGGAGTTTTCCTCCAAGTAATGGAATTCACTGGAGGAAGGTCAGAACTTTTTCACTAGTGTAGTACTCATAATGTAGTTTTTCTTTTGTAGCCTTCAGTAGTTAGGGTAGCCATGAAAGTTGTATGAAATATTGGTTATTTTTTAAATTCAACTTCTCATGTTAAAATAAATTTGCAAAATTCTAGGAATGGGTGCAAGATTCTTGTCCTAAAGCTAAGTTCATCATGCTGGTCTATATTCAACTGACACAGTGTGCAGTGGGATCACAGTAGAAAAAAGGCAGGACACACTGTGCTCAGCATGTGTGTGTGCATAGAGATACTGGACAGGGAGTCTGAAATGTCCTCTCAGTGGTCTGACTTTGTAGTTTTTCTCTAGCTGGGAGTTTCTTTAGTGGTACGCATGCTGAGCCCCACTAGCCACTAATCCACTGTTACCCCTGGGGCAACACTGTAAAACACTGCAGGACTTGGGGCAAGTCCCATTTTTTTAATTCATTCAGTTTCTATGTTTTGGTCATTGCCATAATGCAGAGGGGTTTAGTTTGGGGTCAGTGATCTGCAGTCACCACTCATGCATCTAGTTTGTCATTTGCATTGTCTCTGTCCAGGTGTTTAATTAGTAATTGTCCAGTTGACTAAGAAGCACCAAAGAGGAAGCAAAAAAAGCAGTGATTTTCTTTGTCTTCTCTACTACTAGAAATAATCTTCTGTCTATCTGTATGATTTTTGATAAACTGAAAGTTTAAAAAATACAGTCCCACAGTGGGATTAGTAATTTTCCATTTGAACTTCAGCCTTGTCTGGTTTGTGAAATAAAGAATTACATTTTGTCTTAAAGACGGGTATATCACTTGCGCTTAACTAGGTTAATATTAGCCTGATTTACTGGCAGATACTTGTCTCAACTGTAGCTTGTGGCAGAGAGAGAACAGGCTGTATTCTACATGCTGACCTTTTGAAAAGGTATAGCAAATAGACATTTGAGGGAGGAGTGGTTGCTATCTTAGCGGTAGTGTAGAAAAAATGAGGTTCCTGCGCTCCTGACCCAAACTTCTTGCTTGGTGTGAGTTGGCTGAAATATGCTATTAGCTTTCCTTCACTTTATTTAATTTTCCAATTATCTCCCTATGACAATGAGCAACAGGAAAATTATTTTTTCTTTCTGGTCTAGATTAATTGAACTGGAACAAGAATACAGGAGAAAAAGAAGGCTACAGCCTCTCTGAGAGAGATGTGTTTTGTAACACTTTGCAGCTGCGCAGGAGCCTAACATGGCAGCTGCTTCACATCTGCCCCATGGCAGGTGGGGAAGACACCTCTACAAATAAGGGGTTAGCGCAAAGTATTATTGCAGTCAACTAACTGCTCTCTCATGGCTGTGGAATTGACTGTGTTTATGTCAGTGCAATCAGGATACCCCTCAGAGGAGCATTGTTGCTTTGACTGAAGTAAAGTCCCAGAAAATGCCCATAATGATTTCTTGAGAACTTTTCTTCCGCCTGCAGCAGGAAGGAGGAATGTTTCCTTTTTTTCAGCATCTGCGGTACGCAATATCAGATATTAGGCTGAAAGAGCAGCTGTAAAAGTTTGGCTTCTGCTTGAGATGTGCTTTTATCTGGAATGACCTTTAATATCTTACACAGAGTTATTTAGCTGAACTGGTCTCTTTGAAACTTTATTGCTGATCATGCTGTTCAAACACAGCTGCGATGGCCAGAGGGCCCTTCACTTCCAAACCGCCATTTGTGTTTGCATGCATATCTTTTTCTCTTTAATTGCTACACCTATTAAAATGGTATCATTTCATGGCAGCAAAAGAAGGTGATTTTGCTTTTACTGGATGAACCTGAAGCTAGACATTCAGGGACAAGACTTACAGCTGAGCTGCTGCCGTCTCCTTCTGTAAGGAGAAAATTGCAGATTAAATGGTGTGTCTGATCTAATGCAACCACTGCATTCCTCTCGCTGGTCCTCAGCTGGACTTGCAACTGAATTCTGCAGTAGGCAAACATGCACCTGTCTCTTACACACATACATACACACGTGCACACTTGTTTCTGCATGCTTTCTCTCTTAATATGATAGTAACTTTAAAAAGTGAACAGGTTTATCAGAAGGATTCTTTTTAGCCCTGTTATGGTGTGTTTTCATCATGAGACCATGTCTTTTGACTCCTTGACAAATTCTAAGCTGTTAGTGTTCAGTTGAATCCCTTTTATAAGGGTTTTCTTGATCTATTTTGTTTTAATTAATTTTTGTCTGCTTTAAATCTAAGTTTCATGTTTTCACAGGCCTATTTTCGGACAGTAGAGCTTGTTCAGGAGCCTATTCCTGGCTCACCAGGTCTGAGTTTCTACTTTAGAATCAATGGCCGACCCATTTTCATCAAGGGCTCGAACTGGATTCCAGCAGATTCTTTCCAGGACAGAGTGACCTATGACACGTAAGCCACATTTGATGTTCTCTAAGGAGAAAGGATCATGTTTTCCTCCTCCCAATTCTCTATCCACCTTCTATCAAAGGGTGGCATTGGGAGGTGGAATTTCTTTCAAGGTAGGACACTAATTGTTGTGCGTTGGAGGCCTCAGAATTAGGGCTTAATTAATATTAATAGATTTGAGTGATGTTCAAGGCATGTAAGTGCAATAACTGACGTGAAGGTGGTGGTTTGCTGTCCACAGGTTACTGGCCTTTCGGGTATTTTTAGCGATGATCCTCAGGCTGTCTGATCCTATTGCCTGGGACACGTTCATTGGTACTCAGAGGAGGTGCACTTCGGCCATGTCCTAACGCATCTCGTGCAGGGAGGCATAAGTGCATAATAGCCTCTCTCCCCTTTCCCCCCTCTGGTCCAGGCTTCTTGGATTTCAGTGACACAACGCCCCAGACATGTAGGTGGGATGGGGGCCACGCTGTACTTTGACTAAAATTTGCTCTGGGTAGTTGGGGAACTGGGACAACAGGGCATGCTGTAGTGTGCGTTCACATGCAATTTAGAGGCTGCCAGCACGATTAAAGAAAAATTAATGGAGCCTGAATCCCTTAAAATGAGATTCAGAGTCTCAGTCTTTCTTCCTCCCCCTCTCACTCACCCCTCCCTTCTCACTATACAATGTGGAACTCGGAAAGAGAATATAGATTTCTGAACATGTTTAAAAGAGGATTTGAATTCAAGTAATTGGTATTTAAAGCAAGTAATATCTAAGGAGAAAAGAGCAACCTGATTAATAAAATACAGTATTTCTAAATCTGGTCCTGCCAATACTTCTGTAAAAGCACTTACTTGCATGTGTCACTCCATCCATTTCATAAGTGTTAACAGGACTAAGTAACTTTTTCTGCACAAAAAATTGCTTTTTGAGAGCTCTGTCCAGACATGCAGGCTTAGGAGGTATCAAAATAGTCTGGTTTCTATCAGAGTTATAAGTCTTAGATTGCCTGCTAATGATGAATGTTTGGGGTGGTTTTTTTTTTTTTTTGGTATAACCTTAGAAACTCCAAAGTGATACAGTTTCACAAAACTTGTATAAATCTTCTTTTTGTATTTGACAGATTATGGTTACTCTTGAAGTCTGCAGCAGATGCTAACATGAATGCACTTCGGGTTTGGGGAGGAGGAGTATATGAACAAGATGAATTTTATGATATTTGCGATGAACTAGGAATAATGGTAAAAACAATAAACACGGAAGGCTTATTTAAAAACTGACAAGAACTTGTAAATAAAAATCCACTCTAAATGAACAAAATAAGAGAATTAATACATAAGTTCTAGCCGTCTTTGCAAAGGAAATGGTAGAGTACCAACCTGGGAAGTCAGATCAACCTGGTGGTTTTTTTTGGGTGTTTTGTTTTTTTTTTTTTCAAATGTCTTTTTCATTTGAATGGTTCCTGATTACTGAGGCTGTCTGTTGAAACTGGAAGTGATATTTTGGAGACTTTATATTAGAACCCCAGCTTGTATTTTCTCTTGTAGCTAAGGCTACAACTCTGTTTCTCACTCATCCCCGCTTCCCAGCCCAGAATCTCCCCTTCATCTCCCTTTTCTCCCCACTGTCTTTCCCCACCCCCCCTTACATTTCCCAAAATCAGAGCAACAGGACTGTGGCTTTAACTTTCTGTCTTTTAGCTCTTTTCAGACCAAAACTCTTATCTTTATATACTGTACCTCTCTCCCAGTTCTACACTTTCTGCTCTCTTGGGAAAGAATGAGAAAAGAAATGAACGGATGAGGGACTGGTACTAGTGATGTCACTTAATGCAGGAAGATGTTTACACTGTAATGATGAGCATGACAGAACTTTCGTGGACTGTAGGTATCAACAGGGACTTGCAACACTCAGTCAAATAGTTGTGAAACAAGTAGTGCATGGGAGGGGGATTATTCACGAGATCAAATAATATTTTTTTTCTACAGCAGCCAGACTGTGGGGCCCTATAGCTGTGTTTAGGGCTTACTCATGTGAGAATAGCCCTGCTGAAGAATCTGAGTGCTTGACCAGATTGAGAGCAAAGGCCTTGCAATCTGACCTCAATAAGGATTTAAGGCCTGCTGTATTTGAGTTTTGTGCTTTCAGCCAGCTCTGGGTTATCAAAACACCGAAGAAGGTAGTCATGCTTTTCTCTCCTGTGGAAACGGATTTTATTTCTTTTAAAAGTATTTTCTCCTTTATAGCAATAGCTGAAAAGGTTTGTGTTTTTTTTGGTTCAAACTTTTTAAACTTATTTAAAAATATTTCACTTGGCCTGAAGCCAAGCATGGAAGGCCTTATCCAAAGGGCCATTTTGAACAAGCTGTAATTGCGTATAAATGTAGCTGTAAGGGGAACACCTGCTGCAAACACTGATAATCCTAGATGAGTACCTTTGATTATATGAGCTTGGAGGCACATGTTAATAAGTTTTGATGAAATAGTGACTAGATGAGTGAAGGCCAAATTGCATCTGATACTAAAATCCCAAGAAGTGTGTTTGGCCTTACTTTACAGCATAAAAACCAGGGAAACAGAATTGATACCTTGCTGCCTTCTGCTGTGTGTGCTTGGGGAAAAAAAAAAAGTTACATCTATTTTAGTCATCTGAATGAGTGCCCTGATTTTCAGGGCTTCTGAGCACTTACAGTTCTTTCATTTTTGACACTAGGCACCTAAGTAGGCCACTTAGATCTGTGCTTGTACAGTGCTCAATGCAAGATTTAATCTATTTAGCAGCCAAAATAGCATGTAGATGCAGAAAATCATACCATTATTTTGGAGGGGGTAGTGCTGGAGGCTTTTGGTTTTGTTTCTTCTGATGGTCTTGCAAAGGCTTAGAAGTGCATTAGAGTCAAACTGTGCTTAAGGAAAAACAGTGATAGCTCACTGAGGGAAATAGCGAGAGAAAGTTTCTTTCAATAGAGAGTTTTGACTCTACACAGTCACTCAAGGATTCTGAGTGATTCTTCAGCAATAGCTTTGCTTTTTTTGTACAGTGCTAGGAGTGTAACTATTATTAATGGATCCATTACCTCCTACTGTCCTGTTCCCTATCTTCAGTTTTCTTAGGGAATGTATGCTGAAAAGAGTCATGGAAAAGTATGTTCTCACTGCAAGGAAAGTGCAATTGTATGAGGAGCTGGTCTGTCTCTCTCTATTGTTTATATAGTATGGTGTTCAGAAACGTGTAGTCTCCTACAGACTCCTTTGGGTTAATGTGCTCCTTCAAAGGATCTTTCCATTAACATTGGAGATAGACTGTCAGGAGTCTCAAAGTTACAGCAATTTAAAAAACAGAACAGGTAAAACAAGAAATCTTACCCATCTCATTGGGCTTCTTCCTTTCCCCTTTTTTGTAGTTTTCCTTCAAGGTACAAATGGAGTTCATTGTTGAATTGAAAGGCTTGCTGTTCTCTAGTGGTATCTACTTGATCTTTCTTTGAAGAGAAAGATCACTGTGTTGTTAGAGGATCTAGTTTCTTTCTGCCCCTCTTATGGGGTAAGATTTGCTCTTTTTAAGATCAGTTTGCGCATTTGGTATGGAAGTGTTTTGTTAACAAGTACACTTGAACATCTGTTAAGTATGCTCGATACCAACTCAGAAGAATTACTGTCTCTTTTTAATAAGTAACGGGGATTTGGTGTTACACCTGCAAAGTAGTAAATACGAAGTTGTTCTGTTCAGGTGGAGATTGCCCCACGTTCATATTTGCGCAGTGCATGGGTTCTCATTATTCTGTTGAAACTTATTGAACTCCATCTACTGAGCAATATTCCACTCATCAGTGAAGGCTGTCAGAATCTGATTCCTAAGGGTAAATATTTTGTAACTCTGATATTGAGCAAAACCACAGTGGAGTATGCACATACTGAACCCCATGGAGGATGTGATTGTTTTGGTGGTACTCTCTAAGAACAACAAATAGAACATTTCAATTTAATTATTTTTGAGATAAATAACTTCTGTCTGAACAAAGGATTGTGCATCCCAGTGTAAAATGATTTGCTAACAGATCTTTTTTTTTTTTTAATTTTCTTTCCTTTTCCCTGTAGATTTGGCAGGATTTTATGTTTGCATGTGCGCTATATCCAACTGACCAGAATTATTTAGAATCTGTAAGAGCAGAAGTTTCTCATCAGGTATTTTGTCCATGTGTCAAAGCTTGATTTCCTATTACCTATTTTTGATTGACCGACTGTACAAGTTAGCTTTCCAAAAATGCTTGTTTGGAAGTGTTTGTAGTGTACCTTTTATGTAGCAGGCACAAAATGTAACCTTGCTAAATCCTCTTTTAACTTACTTGCAGGAGTAGTCAGTCAAGCAGAGGTACAGGCTTTCCTCATGCCCAAACTGCCCTCTTCTCAAGGATGTTTAAGAGCATTCCTTGAGAGTGAGCTCTAATGATTGCAACATGCCTTAGCACAGAATTTACCCTTCACATGTGTGGCCAAGTAGATGAGGATGGAGGTATACATGTGCATACGGTGGATATATGTCAGCATATTAGTAGTTTGCCCGTCTGTAAACGTATATTACAAAAGTATGAGCCTGGTAGAGAGCTGAGGGAATAGTGAACAGTGCGGATAAAAACAGGAATTGTAGGCTCAGCATATGTAATATGCATGTGGACTTGTAATTCAAGTAGTAATAAAGTGATTTTCTTTTTTTTTATTTTTAAAAGAAGTAATTTTGCTTGACTTCTGAAACTTTAAGTTCTATTTCAGGTAAGGCGTTTAAAATCCCATCCATCAATTATTCTGTGGAGTGGTAACAATGAAAATGAAGCAGCAATTGCAAGCAACTGGTTCTCTATACCTTATGCTGACAGGGAAGTCTATATCAAAGACTACGTGATGCTTTATGTGAAGAACATCCGAGAAATAGTTCTTACTGTAAGTCATCTCAGGAAACTGTAGGGGGATATGGCTTGGCAAAAAGTTTTAATGTTTGCAATTTGAGCAACTTGGGATTTCTTTTTAAATCCTTTTGGGAAATGAAAAACAGCACATCATTGAGGAATTGCACTTTCCGAGTTCTTCTAAACTACTCTCTGAAATCAACGGTTATCCTCAAAGTAAAACAAAAAATTACTTGCATCTTTGACGCTTTGTGATATGTAAAGGAAGACCTGAAAATGTAGTGGATCTTGCTTCTTTTTTCCTTCCTATTTTTAATACCTCCACAAATGCCTGCACTTCCAGTGGACAAAAATCAACTTGCTCATTAATTAATTAATGTAGATGATCAGATTTCCTTTATCCTAATTTTGTTGAAGGATATTGTAAGAAGGATTTAACAACCCTCAGGCCTTTTAATAGCAGTTAAAGAAATTAATTTTGACTTAAGTTTTTTGGCTTAAGCAGGTTAAACAAAAGCTATGCTAAACATTTTCCTCATGTTGTCATTATATTGTGTGTTTTTGAAAAACAGACTAATGGTATTTTATACAATATGAAAGCAAAATAAAATATTTTGAGATAAGACTTAAACTGCAAGCATGGAGACCAGAAGCACCTGGAATCCGTGATAAAGTCTACTGTGACTTGGCACTACCCATTTTGCATGGCTTTTGTAGTTTTATTTCTCCTCCTAGAAGTATTTGAGTTCTTCATTATTTAATGGAATCTGCTTTTAACTAACTTTTATGTGTGTATGTAGAGTGAAATTGATTTAAAAGTCCCAAATTGATGTCGCATAACTGTATAGGGATTAACAAACAGTGCTTGAACCACAGGTGAATATTCTGAACTCCCCTGTTAGGTAAGAGACAAAATGTTGCAAGAGTTTTGTCCAGTTAGAACTTCTTTCTTCAACAAGAGTGTGAGTTTTTGTTAACCTAAAAATGCTCATGGCCTTTTCCTATCCAGTTATCCCTGTATAATATGATCTTACTGACTTCAGGGTATGATAATTTTAGTCTAATCTCCGTCCTTTTCAGGATGAGATATGTTTCATGTTATGAGGCTCATGACCTGAAGTTTCCCTTTGCTAAGACAGGCACTCACTATGTAGGTGACAGCAATATTATTGCTTGTTATTGGGGGCTACTGGCATTGTCAGAGTAGTTGTAGTCTGGGAATTTAGAATACCTTTCTACTGGAAAAGTTGAAATATGAGGAAACAATAGAAATCATGCCAGGTTTGACAGAACCTGCTGAAAAGGATCCCACTTTTGAGGGCAGTTATTCATTCTAAATGGTAACGGTGTCTTATATTCTTGCTTAACATCTTGATTCTAGTTTTCTGTATTTCAGCTAGGTTTTTTGGAACTGAGGTGTTTGTAAAGGTATGCTGTGGTGTTTCTGTGATTAGCTACATGAGTTGGATGGCCAGTGCATGTGCAGCAAAGTGAGGTGTTCTGGCTTGATACTGTCTTTTAGTGACAGTTCACTTGTGTAGCATTGCTATCCAAGATGGACCCCCTTTTATTTTTAAACCCATAGCATAACTATTTTGAGCACCAGAAGGAACCATACAGTGAAATAGCTTCAGGTCCTGTGTAATACAAGCCAGCTGAGGATGCCTGTAACTACTAGCAATACTGGACTGTATAACTTAAAAAGACTTCTAAGTTTGAGGTAAGACTTCAGGGAATCCAGGATATCCTGTAGTAAATTGTTTCAGTTAATTATTAATTACTCATGTCAAAAAAAAAAAAAACCCAAACAAAAGAAAACAAAACAAGGACAGGGGAACAGGACTATTTCTTAAAAAGAAGCACACGTCTAAGTGCTTTGGTGTACTGGAGCCAATTGCTGTAACTTGTGACTGGTAACTAACTCAGGCCTCTATTCTAACACACGTAGGGTGCTAAATGAATTATACCTGCAAAAGGATTCCTTCAGTACTTCGTAGGGTACTGCTAAAAGATTTAGCGTACTAAATCTACTGAGGCTATAAATAAAGGCAGCTCTGAACAATTTGAAATGTAACCCTTATTATAGTCTCACCTATCTTAACGTGCAGAGCCAGCCAAAATGATAATAACCTGCAATGTTACTATGCAAGCATTAGTAGCAGAATACCTTGGCTTTGTTAGGACTAAATTTAGGTGACTACTTAATAGGAAAGGAGAAAATCATGGCCTTGTTCCTGCAAAAACACTGCAAAAAGAAGTCACAGTACTCAAAATATTAATGTTCCTTGAGTTTATTTTTTCACAAGGCACGTTTTAAATAGCTTTCATTAAGAATTTAGAAGCATATAAAGATAGAAGATCTCTTGATGCGAGGAGAGAATCCCTTAGAACAGCAGAGCAAGCAATATCATGCCCAGCTGTCCTCCAAGAACATAAATAAGAAGCTAATTAAGCAAGTAAAGATGATGAATATCAGGACACAGAGGGGAATGTTTCCTAGGTGGTGACTCAGAAATTTGGAAAAGGCATGTAGTCCCTGCCCTCCCCCCCACCCCCCCGCCTTTTCAAAATGTGGTCTATGTATTCAGATGATAAAAGCCAATCACTTTGTGAGGGGGTTGTGTTTTTAGGTTTGTTTTTTTTTTTTCCTCTCTTTTTTTTTTTTTTTTTTCTTTTTAAATCCCAGGAAGATAAGAGTCGTCCTTTCATTGCATCCAGTCCTACCAATGGCTTGGAGTCAGTTAAAGAAGGTTGGCTCTCCCAGAATCCTTATGATACCCATTATGGTGACACTCACTTTTATGACTACAGCAATGACTGCTGGAACTGGACAGTGTATCCTAAAACTCGTTTTGCTTCAGAATATGGATTTCAATCCTGGCCTTCCTTCAGTACAATCGAAAAGGTAGGGCTGGGCTTCCACACCTTACTGTCCCCTCTGCTCTCATTTAGTGAGGGCAGTGAGTCTCTTCCCAACAAACTACATCATCCAAACTGTAGTTGGGATAACACATTGTTAGGTGTGGTATGGCACAGGTGGGATAGAGGTGTGTGCTGTTGTGGAGGGAGGGGATGAAACTGGACTGTTTACCTCCTCAGTGTTCAATATATTTACCTTGATGTTGCAAGAGGAAACAAGTTTAGATGAGGGACTATTATAAGACTATTAATTTTAATAGTAATTCTATTTAATATATAGCTTAGTAATGATTGCCTAACATCTGTTTCGTTTTGCTGGGTCTAAGGATAGATTTCATTTAGAAATAGAAGAAACATGACAAATACTGAATTGTGCTGAATTCTAAAATGTATTGATTTTTATATTTTTTCCAATTTCTTTTACTTAAATAATTTGTTTCTTTATGTTTTGTATATAAGAGGATTTGGTTTTGTCTCCTGTTTAAATTTAGATATTGTATATCCTATCTTATTTATCCAGTTGGAGCAGAGACATGTCATGCTGTTTGTCCATTTGTTCAGAGAGAGATGAATATCATGTTGATACTCCATGCACGCAACTAAAAGGAGTTCAGAATGTTTCTTTCAATTTGCTGGGCAAAGTGTATTATCTGAGACATAATCAGTACATTAATCCATATTAATAACAACGAAAATTATTCAATCCAGCCTAAAAAGGAACAAATTTAAATAAAAAGATTTTATAGAGATTGTAATTACAATGAAAGCTTGATGATAATAACTGTATGAGCTATGCTGCATTGTTGCCCTTAGTTGAAAAAAACTGTTTCATGATCATTTGTTTTCGGAGGCAGGTTTTGAAAATATACACATTATTAGAATTTATAGCCCTACTAACTTCTGTAACTTTTATGCCTAAATGTGTTTGACCTAGAGTACATTCTTCTGTCTTAACCTACTGTGTTTCTGATTTACTATGAATGCAAGTAAACCTCTGAGGTCCCTTGGCCAAACTGAACCTTAGGATAAATAAGTTAAATGCCATTGAGCCAAAAGTTGCTCTCCTGGGTTCAACAGCAATGTCTGTTTTCATTTATTTTTACAAGGAGTATAAGCAAAGGGTGTTATTGATTCAAAATCCTTGCATGACTGCATGAGGCACTGTAGAAATATACTACCATTTTAAAGGTTTTGGATTATGTTAGCAGGCTGTAATGGATATACTTTCCTGAATATCCTGTCAGTCATTAAATGCACGTTTTGCCTTTTCATTCTGATCTCTTACTTTTGTGGTTTTTTTAAAAGGTTTCCTCCACTGAGGACTGGTCCTACACAAGCAATTTTTCTCTCCATCGACAACACCATGAAAATGGCAATGATCAGATGCTTCAACAGATTGGGCATCATTTCAAGCTTCCCCAGAGCACAGATCCCATAAAGAAGTTCAAAGATATGATTTACCTCACCCAGGTAACAGTGATGTCTTCAATAGAAGCAGACATCAATACTTGTTCCATTAGATACTGTCAGCGGTTACTGTCAGCGGGGCCTATTCTTCAGTGATACAGAAAGTTTCTGCACTGAAGCATTGGAGAGTCCTGTTTAATTTGGAACTAGCTTGTCTCTCGTTTATTGTAGAGAGACTCCAATTTTCATCATAGAAGGGCTGGAATACTTGTCAGGGAATTTCCCAGAAACTGGCTCAATTGGGAGAAAATCTGGCTGCATGTCCTACCTTGGTCCCTGTCCCCAGCTGGGCCCATTCATGAAGCTGGCTGGGAATGCAGGGATGCGCTGGCCTTCCTTGGTACGCGGTTATTCCTAGCGCTACATGTTACTCCCTGTTCCAGGGTGGGTATGTTTTCCTCTTCATGTGGCCCCTGTAGGCTTACTGCTTTGATTTTTTGCCACAAGGAATACATAAGCGTTTGAAACAAGATTGTTTCTAGAGAATGCAGTTCTCTATGAATGAGATTATTAGTAGCTCTTATTTTGTTATGGACTCAGATATTGATATTTTAGAGAATGTATTTTGGTTTTTGTGGGGTTTTTTTGTTTTTTTTTTTTCAAATCGGTAGGTTATATTTTGTTCTTCATCTGTAGTAGTTTCTCTCATGCTTTTTTCTTTCTTTGTGATTTCTATGTGACTTTTAAATGATGTTAAGTAACTTTTTAATGCTATTAGGCAAGTTTAAAGTGCTGCTACTTTTTGCTGTGTTCCAAGAATTTCAGAAACACTCTTGATGGGAATAATTGCACATTCACTAAGTTTTTAATGTTTGCAAGATGCTGTCAGCAAGTTTTATATAAAAACAAAACACCTGGAGAACTTTAGGCACTGATGACAAGAGAACAAGGATTCATCATGCTGTGAAATTGAAAACAGGGGTAAAACTTGCGCAGTGAGGTCCTGACTCAAAAAGCTATGAGAGTTTCTGCAGGGGTAAGTTCGTCAGGGCCTTATTACAAGGTTAAACAATTTAAGAATACCAAAATAAGGATAGCAAAAAGGATAAGGAGAGTAAACTTGGCTCTAGTGGTTAACTAGAAGTGTTATCTTTACCTTTTGAGCTGTCCTAAAGAATAACTTTTTCCTTTATTTTGAGACTTTCTTTTAATATATCCCTAGCCTAGTAATATACTTTGTGAAGAAAATAACAGGCTGTTTGGCTTCTATTGAGAACTTGGCCAATGAAAAATTCTGTTTTTTAAAGACAAGGTGGGGAAGGAGAGAAGAAGTGGGAGTGCAGGTGAAAAAAGGTTGCTCCTTCGGTGCACAATTTTGACTGTACACTGGGAATGTGTGTTATATGTTCAGAGTATAGGGATGTGGACATCATGATAATGTATACTGGAGGTAGTGCAGCATAACGTCATTTTGCAACTCTTGGGTTTTTTATTTACATTAACTTAAAAAAAAAAAATTAAATTTATTTTTCTTTCCATTGTCTTCCATTTGCCTTTCAAAGACCCTCTTGCCCAGTGATCTTTACTGGATGGAAGGCAGGAAGTAGCCCCTCCAGAGTTTCTCTAAAGATACTGCTTGTAAAGCTGTTGGGAGCTGCTAGGAATAGATCTCCTTCAAGCAGAGGCCCACTGCACTGCAGGTGTATGCTCTTGAAGGCTTAAGTTTAAAGTCTTATGTGCCGTTGCTGTGAAGTCTGTGTTGTATGTTAGTATATACACACATGCTTTGAAGGTAAAGTAAAATACAAAATACAATACACCCCAATTTTTTTTTTTATATGTGTTTGTTGACCAAGGTGATGCAGGCTCAATGTGTAAAGACAGAAACTGAATTCTATCGTTTTAGTCAAAGTGAAATAATCAAGGGAGAAGGACACACAATGGGAGCTCTGTACTGGCAACTCAATGACATTTGGCAGGCACCTTCATGGGCTTCCTTGGGTAAGTTTTGTGACAGTCTGGTAAAAAGCACCAACTATCAGTCTTGTTTTGTTTTCCTCATCTGGAAGTATCTGAATAAGAAGTATGGCTCTGCTCTCTCTCTCGGGCAACTTTGCAAACTTTGAACATGTTCCTGTCTATCCTTTAGAAATGCTTTCCAGAAAAGTGTTTTTCAGGATCATCCTAGTAGTCTGTGAAAGTGGAAGAGGGTAAAGAACAAAGCGATTCTTTTCCTGTGGCAGTTTTGCTGTTTAAGTTCAGATTTGGCAGCCACCAACTCTTACCCTTGTTTTAGCAAGGTTTAGTTAAGAGAAGTTAAAATTGTATGTAACTCCTAATTTCTTAGAAATACGTTTTTTCGTTTAAGCAGTATTCTCATTTCTCCCAAGGAAATATCATTGAAGGCAGACAAAGCTGCCTGTTAGGAAGCAGTGATGGTTAGGATTGAGGGCACAACCCTCTTGTGAGGTAAACTTTCAACTACCCTTGCTTTTCTTATGTAGAGCTGGATCTTCCTGAAACTGTGTGTGATATATCATCCAGGCTTTTCCAGAGAAATTTTGCATTTTTTGCAAGTTTAATTCTTTTAAAATTAGTAAGATGAATTCTTTTAAAATTGGAGGCTTCTAAGAAATTCTGTTTCCAAAAGGGCCTGTCCTAGAAATCCCTGATTATATTTATTGGCTTAGCTGTGCAGATGCATGTATGTACCCAGCCACCTTGGGTGGGAATGGACAGAGAGGGAGCTAGTGGGATAGGAAGGGAAGAAGGAGCACCCATGTATTGTTATACTTGCCATAATCCCAACAAATTTGGTTGATTTTGTTGCTCCTACCCCCGCTGTCCCCCTCCGCCCTGGTAAAATGATCAAAACCTCTCCCTTCAGTAGGCAGTAGTGCACTGTCAAAAGAACTACAGAACTGTGATCCTGTTCTGAGCAGGATGGGATTTAGTATATAAAGGCTAGGCATCTAGATTTCTTCTGTAGTCAGTTGGGGGAGAGATGGGTATCTCCAGAGTGTGATGCATTGTGTCCTTAGCTGTCTAATAAGTGGGATGAATTATCTTCTCCATGCTGAATTTGATTTTCATAGAACTTCATATGACACCTCTCACCCAGCATAGCTTCTGAGAAGCTCTTCGTAGGAGAAGATGACTAGCTGAGATTTGGTGAGGTGAGGTGAATCACTTTTTGTGACTAAATTATTCTGCTAATATGCTATTTATGCATATGATATCTCCTTATATATTACAGATATATTTTTCCTTTTAGAACACAAAAATGGAGTAGTCAGACATATAAAGAGATAAGTCAGGCAGTAAGAAATAAGAGAGGAATGTATGGTATGAGGGAAGTGGCTGTGTTTCATGTTCTGAACGTTTTGTCTAGAAGTTGTTTTGAAACGGAGAAGCTGTTCTATAACAGCTGTATAGGACTTGGGTAGATTCTTTTTCAATTTTAGTTATTTCTCACATGTTCTTTTTTTGAAAATCTTTGTTTAGGAATTTCATGTGTGAAGAAATACGAGTGAACTAGAAAAAGCTAAGAGCTAGTGTGAAGTTCTCGATCTGTCCTTAGAACAAAATGCCATTTGGCCTTGCTTTAAAAAAAATTAGCCCACCCCATTCTCCCCCTCTTTCTCTGGGAGATGTTTGTCCCTCTCCCTTTTACTTTTTGTTCTTTTTTTTTTTTTCTTTTTTTTTCTTTTTTCCTCCTATATTCATCCAAGCAAAGTAACTGCAACCAACAAAGGAAGACAAACCAGTAGAAGAAACAGGCTATTTTATTTAAATGTTAAGGCAGCGGTCCAACTATAACGCTCATCTTTCTGGGCTTTCTAGACTTGTATTAGGAAATGGAATATCCCAATGTTCATTTTTATGATTCTAGCAATGGCTGATGCTCTTAGGCTTTTAGTGCCTTAAGAGAAAAAGATGCTTGGAAAAATGTCTCTTTGTAAAGACAGGTGTATTGATGGATGAAGTGATCGTGGAAACCATAAATGTCTTTTTAAGTATAGAGCTGACGTCATTGTAGAAAATATATCAAATACTTGAATTATTCATACGTTGTTGAAATTAGTTTACAGAAAAGAAGCTCAGCAGAGATACAGCTGTCCCTTTGTTTTGTTCTATTCCCTCAGTGGAATGAGGAAAGGTTTAATATTCATTTAATTAGGCAGTGTGGTAGAGGGATTTTTGAAATGCTAATGGCTGAAATTATGCAAAACTTCAGAGAAATTAGTTTTATTTGCACTTCAAAACCACATTTCTGCATCTTGTTAGATGGCACAGTAGTATCACCAATGAGTGCTTTTTATTTAAATCCGTTATTTTACAGAGAGCCATGGCGGGGGGGTGAGGGGGGGCCTTACATAATTTCCCATACAAAGCAGGAGTATTTCCTTGTGAAGTGGGGAGGGAAGAAGGTAGCAAATGTTTCTCCTTTTAACTTACCTTTTAAGATGTTTGCTTGGGATTGAATGAAAACACAGCACAGCACTCCTGTCATAGTCACTTCTGCCTTCAGTTCAGAACTAAAATAGCTTTTACCACAACTGGGTTTTGATTGTTAGCGCCTAGTTGTGGAGCCGGTTGTGCCACGATGAATGCTTTAGCATCTATGCAGTGTGTTTTGGTGAGGAGCACTGCAATACACATGACAATTTACCTCACTCCCACACAAGTGTCACCTTGAGGTACCCAACTCGGTTGTTATGAGATTCCCTTGAACAGATAACGGCTTTTATTGCAGGCTCAATATTTAGAGGCCCTGGTGAGCTGAAGCCACAGTCTATTATGGAGAATAATAGATCTGAATTCATGAGACTGAGGTGAGGAAAGAACTAACAGCATGTTTCTCAGGTTGCATTTAATGGTGTGAAGTGATTAATTTAAAATCCATTCCAGGGATATTCCTGCTATCAGTGTAGAATGCTCAGGGAAGAGTCAGAAAAAAGGGTACTGGGGTCTCATTGCAAACCTAATTTTAGTTTCCTGTTCTGAAGTTTGATACCACGGAGAGTACAGACCCCATGTTATTATCAGGAAAAAATTGGGGAACTTGGATTTCTTTAAGAATTCATTTAAATGTGGGGGGAGGAGGAGTATACCACCCCAGGGCTGTTTTAAATAACTTTTGACTGTTGCCTTTGGGCATGCATGTCTGTGACAGGAAAGTTTAAGCCCAGAGATTTCTCACCATAGCTACCTGATCTCCAGATTTCTTACGTCCATTTTTTGGGGCAGGGGGAGGATTTTACATACAACTTGCTTATTTTTAAATCAAGAAATGTGACTCTGGTCTTAAGGAAATCAAGACAACAGATGAGCTGAAGAACGTGGCTTTTTTTTTAGTTAGTGAGCTTCAGTTTTCTGTGCTGTCTGAAGTTTCTTTGACAATTGTATTATCAAGGTCCTGTTGCTTTGGAAGATGCTTCCTGTGTGAAACTGCTCCAGCAGTTGAGCTTTAGTTTTTCAAAATGGCTCTAGGTTTTTTGGGAAGGGAAATATCAACCTTAAAAAGCTGATCTGAGGTAAGCAGACTAGTGATGTTTCCAAACATCCCAAAAAAATAGCTGTTGAACCCTAGAATGAGTTTTGAAATGGTACAAACTTTTAAGTGTGTGGTTTATTTGCTTTTGTTTGTTGCTTGGGTTTGTTTGTTTGTTTGTTTTTCCCTGTGGAAGTGTAGTGCCAAGTTCTGTCTGAGTTTTCTCCACTGTACAGGTTTCTTGAGGATCTCTGTATCTGCTGTCGAGGGAGCAAACCTTCTCTTTTTCCCTCCAGTAGCCACTGCAATGTGGTTATGTAATCCAGATGGAAATCAAGGCACAGCAGAAATTGAGGGTAGGGCCCATTCAAAGAGAAATGGGATTTTATATTACACTAAGTAACAGGAACTGCTCTACTTCAGTTGCATTATTCATTTTCATATTTAAGACAGTTGAAGCCTAGATTTGCGTCATGTAAATTAAGCTGAGGAAAAAATTCAAGTCAGCAGGCACTGAAACCTCAGCCCATGCTAGGTAACTTTACTGAGCTCGTGGCGGCCTCTGTCTGAGGCCTGCAGTGAGCAGCATCTATTGCATTGGCAATTGAAATTCCTGAGAGTCTTGTGGCTATCCTGAGGGCTTCAGAGAGTTCAGCCCCTCCCAAAGCCTGAGGTTAGATGCAGTGCCTATTTCTCATACAAGGTCCATTGCTTTTATTTTTTAGATCAGATGCTGCCCCACAGTTTACTCTTGTTTCAAATAATCCATCCCCAATCAAAATCTCTCATCTTCTCGAGTTTCATGACCCTGAAAAGTAATTTCTTAGCACTCCCTGGTTTTGGCGGGATTGTCCTTTAGACCACCGACGTTTTTCCGCCAGGAATTGTCCTTGGAATGCAAGAATGTGGCTTTGTTCATATACTGAACAGCACCAATGTGCTGAGTATGTTCTCAGTTTATCAACAGTCTGTCTGTTTTGGAGAAACTCGGCAGCCTCTCCTGAAGTTTTTTTTCAGACTTCACCTCTTTGGTTTGCTTCAGTGCTATTAACTTGAATGCCGGTGGTGTTTTGTTGGCAACAGTCTGATCTCATAGCACCGTTGAAACTTGTATGGGTTTTCCAGGCAGATACAAGCTTTTCTTGTCTGTTCTCCAAGATAGCTGGTTGTGAGCTTGCTGAAAACAAGGTGATGTGCTCTCCACAAACTTCATTCATGTCTATGTGGAGTGCAGGCAGAGCATGTTCAGGTCTGCCTGTGAAAGTCACAAACGCACCCTTTAAAGACTACATCACTCTGGATGAAGTCCTTAATTATGACATGTTTGAAAGTGCTAAGAGCTTTGTACAAGCACCAAAACACAGAGAGGTAATTAGTTACAACAAAAACATATTACTAGAAATATTTTTCAGCATCCCTGGACTTTAAACCTGTTGTATAAAACAAAGAGCCAGAAACAAGAATGAAACAGTATCTAACTTTCCTTTCCTTATGAGATGATGCAGCTGACTTGCTGCTTTTTTAGTGCCATTTCAATGACTAGATAATGGTTGAGCAAAGGCAGAGTTAAAATGCTGACAGCGGGTGCTAGGTGGAAAATTAATAGAGAAAGAAGTGGAAGCAGCTTCTCTTTCAAAATGATTGTGTGGCAGTGCTGCATCTGGCAAAATTGCTTTTTTTGGAGAGGGCACAACATTTGATGGCTTTTCCAGTTTGTTAATGGCAGTATTAAAGTAATGAGGTACAGCTTTCCATTAAAGAGGCAAAGCGAACTGATTGGCATATATCTACGTCATGTATACTAACTTCCAAGTAAGTGTTGTCTCTAGATCTTGGCAATCTTCATTTTGCCTAACTCAGAGTTGTCTTTGGTTTGAGAACTTGTTTTTTTGTCTTCGTTGCTATCGATGTTCCTTTAAGGAAGAACTGAAAAAGGGGAAGAGAGCACTTTGTATAAGCCCCGGAAGTCAGACTGTTGTCTCTTTGCAGTGGTGGTAGTTTGTGGCAATGCCACCATGTTTGTCTGTATTCTCAACAACATGGATGCTCCAGCTGCTTGCTTAATGTGTAGTATGCTGTGTCAGTTTTGTTAATGTCACTTGTGTTTAAGGCTTTCTTTAACTGAATAACAGCATAGCAATGACAGGACCAACACTTGCAAAATGTGATCTTTTGGTGAAGCTCAAATAAAAGCTTGAAAAAGCATCAAATCCCTTCCAGAGCAGAGCCTTGCCTGGAAGAAAGCAAGAGTAACTTCAGTCATTCTCTGCACCTGATAGAGGTGAAAAAGGGTGGAGGGAGATATTGTATTGCCATAGCAGGACCAGAGAGCACCGGAAGGGATTGTGTGCCAAGGCAATCTTGGATTCAGTCTGAATCTTTCTTCCTTTTAACCCTTTTCAGAGTATGGTGGTAAGTGGAAACTGCTCCATTATTTTGCCCAGAACTTCTTTGCACCACTGCTGCCTGTGGCCTATGAAGACAAAGGTGTGTTGTACATTTACGGTGTCTCAGATCTTCATGTGGACCACAAGCTGACTTTGAGGGTAAGTCACACCTCTCTCGCCACTCTTGTGTCCCTCCCGCAAAAATGTGAGAAGCTGAAATGAGCACATCTTTGTATAGAAAAGCTTCAGTAAGTCCATGCTCAAACACAATGAGGTGCAATTCTTGTCTTTAAACTTCTTAGGGGCAATGTTATCCTTTGTTATAGTAGTGTGTGCTGCTTCACAGAACAAGGAATTAATTGCTGTGCTTATAGCCTGTTAGATACAGGCCTGAAATTAACTATTCTGTGGAAATCTTAAAGGGATTGTTGGTTAAGTAGAACAAAGTGTGAAAAATGGTACCTCACTACTTAATAAAACTGTTCCCTGGTTGTTAGAACTAGATTAACTGATGAAGTGGGGGGAAAAAAAGGATTGTACCATTGCTTGCCAGTACTCAAACTACACCGCTTTGGGAAAAAGAACTAGATTGTTTTCTGAAATAGCAACAGAACATCTAGGTGTACTTTAATTGCAAGGTCACCTACGCAATGTCACCATTTCACAGCTGATGCCTTAACTGTTTTCTGATAATGCTATAGAAACTGATAGGATTAAGAAATCCTGAGTTGTCCTGTAGAATACAGTCTTGCTTTTCAGTTTGTTATATTTTTTTGCTGTTAATCATATGGCAACCAGATCCCAAATAAATTTAGGGGCCATTTTGGACTACGAGATACAATTCCTGATGTAAAGGGCGTCCCATGTGAAAAGGCTGGGAAGGATGGAAAACAGACCTAGAGACCTGGAATGACTCACTAGTCATTTCAGAACTAGTAGTATGAGTATGTCAATTCCTAGTTCACTGCTCTGGTGGGCTGCCATGGAGTTTCAGATTTATAAGGTTACTTATATATAGTAATACATAGTAGAGAAAATGGTTGCAATTTCTGGATAGTCAGTTCTTAGAGTAGGACTGCACTTAATGAAATTGTTTATTTCTGGTCTGAGTTATTGTAACAGGCTTAAATTCTGGATAATGTGAGAGAAGTATTGGTAGTAGGGTAGTTCCGATGACTATTGTATTTCGCGCTTCAAGCAAATTTGGAACTTTAAAACTTTTGAAAGGAGTTAGGATCTGTTCCTGACTGTAGACCCCTGTTAAGGTCAAAAATAACCTAAAATGTATGAAGGGATAGAATGCTGTAATTCTCATTAAGCGTCTATCTTCCAAATTATGCACTTTTAATTTTTTTTTTTTTTTAAATTTAAGATAAGGGTGCATTTATAATGCATGCGTAATCTCTGGGAATATATATTTTACTGTATTAATATAACTTCCATGATCCCTTTTAAGGTGACGCAGCTTTCTTCTGTTTAACGGTGATTGTGCAGAAGCTCTAGATTACCCAGTTGGGTTACATCAGATAACACTGAGCAATCTCAAGAAAATCCTTTGTTTCACCTGATAGAGCTGTTTGACTTTTTTTTAATCAGGGAGGGGAGGAAAAAGAGTCAACAGATTAGTCGCTCACTAATTCCATTTTCCAGCACGCCCTTGGCAGGAATTGGCAACCCCCTCCTCTCAAGGAGCCTGGAGAAAACAAAAAGCCTTGCAGATCAAGAAGAACAACAGACACAGACTGTTTGAAACTAACTTCTTGTTAGGTTTATATAATGATCTAATTATTATGCCGTATCGATTGTTTAAATCTTTGTGGAGTTTCTTGCTAGGTGGAAATCAGCTGGTACTGTCAGGAGAACATCTCTTGCAATGAGCAATCCAAAACCTAGGATGCTGGGTTATCTTCACAGATGTAACTTTTCTTCTAAACTTTGTGCTCTCTCAACATGCTTGATAGGTCGTTGTGCACGCCTGGAGTTCTTTGGAGCCAGTATGCACCCTTGCCAAAGACAGTGTGACTGTTAAAGCACAAAGTGCTGTCCCCATCTACAAGGAGTCCATAAACGACTTGCTGGAAAGATGCAGAAATTGTACCAGGAAAAGCTGCATTATTACTTTCTGTCTTGTGGGAGAAGGTGGGCTCCAGAGTCCTACGAACCATCACTTCCTTTCATCTCTAAAGGATGCAGTAGGATTAGAAAACACCCATCTTAGTGTAAGCATCAGTCATGCTATATTACTGTATTTGGTTTTGCTAATCTTACTGTTTTGAGTTGTTTGCCTGCTATGCAGTGTCTGATTCCACTGAATGTTGTTGCTCCTTAGCTGTTGCAATTCTAGCTTCCATGTTGAGTTCAAAATCAGATTTCACCCCCCTCCCCCCCGCCCCATGTCACTATATGCATATCAAAATGACACTGGTAGGGGTTTGGTGGTTTGTTTTGCTTTTTTTTTTTTGGTGGGTTTTTTGTTTGGGTTTGGTTTTGTTTTAAATAATGAAGTCCTCATTTAATTTGTTTTGACTGTCTTTCACCTGACTGCATTGCTCCTATCATTATTTTTGTCCCTAGATAGCAAACAGCATCATGGCAAGTGTTTTGGCTTGCAGACAGTACTGTATGTTAGTACTAGGTGACGCTAGTTCAGTTGAGTGTGGAGTGCATTATTGTCAGCAGTATTTCCTCTTGAAGTGCTCAAACTCTCAGATCAGTACCATTGCTAACATGCAATATTGCATGCTCCTTTCCTCCTTCTGCAAATCTCTGCCCTCCGGCTAAGGGTTCTGATTTGCATAATAGTGATTATTTCTTAATATCTGGCAAGTGTGTCAGTCTCCTGAACAGGCACAAAAAGCATCCGTGTTGTATAACGCTGTCATTTAGTCCATTTGCTGCTTTTCCCTAGATTTCTTCCACTCCTAGCAAGTGTGCTCTGTATAGAGAGAGCGAGCGTGCTCTGTGTGTGTGTGTACACACACATCTTGCTAAGCCTCACTTCTTAGTGTATAAATCTTATTGCAAAATTCTTAATCAGCAGATTGGCAGGATTGGCATTCTCACATTTGGCTTCCAAACTGCAGCTTTGCTCTTTAGAGCTAAACTAAACAAGGGGGGAATAGAGGTCTTCAATCTCTTTGAATCTGGACCAGCATAATTGCTTTACAAAAAGAAAATGGGCCAAATTTTCCCCTCTTATCTCTTATCTCAGCATGGCCTGCCTCCTGAGTATACAAAGGAAAGAAATCAGCCTGTTTTTATTTTTTTTTTTCAGCTGGTGGCACAATCTGGAGTCTGAGTCATGCTGGTTTTTTTTGGTGGATGACATAATCAAAAATAAAAGCTCTGCAACTGGAGCATTGTTGGGAAATTTCACTCCTTTTTCCCACGGCTGTGTTGTCTCTGCAGTACTGACTAATAAGGACAGCTAGCAAGGATAAATGCAAAGTGGTTATTTTAAGAAAGTATGCAGCTCTGATTTAAAAAATCATTCTGTTTTGTGAGAAGCTGGTGCTTCTATACATAGTTTCTAATAAACTAACAAGACTTTCAAATACATTGCTAATCCAAGTGCTACTCTTCACAGCATTGCTTTTAAAGACATGAAGACTTCAGTTCAGAAAACACAAAATGTAAAGGATGTGTGCTTTTTCTTAAAAATGAATAGTGACATTTTTCTTGTAAGCGGGACGTAATTTCTGCACTTAACATAATTTGTCTGCTTTTTATATATAGTTAATTGGTATTTGAAAACGATGTAGCATATTTCATGGTGGTGAATGGGGAGTGCTGCTGGTTGTGCTTTTAAGCCTCTCTGAGATTTACTACTGATACTAGGTATAAGTCAGATTACCATTTATTCAGTTATCTTTGTAAGAAGATGGTAGAGTGATAACACTTCATGGCATTTTTCCGCCATCTTTAGTATTCTGTAGGAAGGCTATAACAACATTTGCAGTTTTTGCATGATTCTTGCATATGAATCCTGTTGGTTTGACCTTTTGTTCCAGAAGAGATTTCCATAAGAGAATAGTAATTTTGATCAAATGTGGTTGTTCTGTCTGTTTTACCGACATGCAGGTCTTTCCCAGTTTGGGTGTAACTGAGTCCTTATTTAACATGTATATTTTTATTTATTTATTTATTTCTTTTCCAGGCCTCTGTATCCCAACAAGATGACATTTATGTATTTGTTCTTCAGACCACTGCAATTGCTCCTTTTGTTTCTCTGGATGTAGGGAGTATAAAAGGCAGATTTAGCGATAATGGTTTCCTCATGACCGAAAAGAAGAAAGTGGTTGTGTTTTATCCTTGGGAACCTACCAGTGTTGAAGATCTAGAAAAGTCACTAACCTTGACCTCTCTGGTGGACATTGTCTAAGGATACTTTGTTTCCTTCTAGATAAGGAGTGAAACAGGAAGAGGAAAAAATTAGAAGAATTTGACTAAAGTTAAAGTGATGTACAATTTGAGCTGACTGGAGAACATACTGTTTATTCCTGTCATGTGTGAATTTTAACTGCTGGTCTCAAATGTAAAGATACCAACAGCAAAGCTTGCATATAATATATCTGGTGCATTGAAAATAAGGCTTTCTCAGGTAATTGGAAAAATATATCCCATGTATAAAATGGGAGGGATGAGTTGGTGCAAGAGAGCTGGTCTGAGCTCTCCAGTTCACATGAGATGAATTACTGGGTTGTGAATTCATCCTAAGAGGCAACAGAAGTATGCACCTCCAGACTATGGTTGTAAAAACTCGTATTTTTTCCAGTTTCACTATGCCGTAAGTGGAAATTCATCTTAGGATAACAGCAAGGTATGCTGGGGGCAAGGGAGAAGGGCAGGGAGTGAAGCTGGGACCACCCCCACAGGTATGCCCCCACTTGGAGTGTTTTGATCTATCTACAGCCGAATTGGGAGAGCACTACTTCTACCCTTTCAGATCTATGGCTGTAACTCTGTCAGGTGTCCTGCCTGCTCCCTGCAAGGTAGGCTTCCAAAATAGACATGAAACTTGGGCTGTCTAGTCAGACATCAGGCAGATCTGTTCCCCCTTCTGAAAGGGGAATTGAGTACGAGACTTGTTTTCTTCTGTCTTCTCAAGGTTATTGCTCAATGTTGCATGAGAGCTCTGCATCTAGCTTTGTCTCTTCCCAGAGGGCTGCAGGTGCTGCTGCATGGGATCCTGCATAATGTGGCATGGTACGAGATATGCCTGGCTGTGGGAAGAGGAATGGGGAGAAGAGTTGACCAAAGGTGCAAAGAGAAAGGAGGCAGTACAGAGAAGAAACGGTCATGTGAGATGACCACAGAGTTACAAGCGACTGCTTTTTCACTAGTAGATACATAGTGCAGGGGCTGCTGTTCTCGCTCAGACATTGCTGCGCAGCCATTCTGTTACCCCCTGGTATTCCTCATGAGTGGCCCTGTGCTCCACACTGATCTTCCTCTCCTTCCAGAAAAAGAGTTGGCTTAGCTTTGTTTATCAAGCAAATTGTCATAATTCTGGTTTGTTGTGTTTTTTGTGTGTGCACGCTACCTTTAAAATACAGACATCAACATTTTAAAATACAAAAGCTCAACATCTTAATTTTGCTTCTTTGTGTGTGGCTTCCCCATAGAAGACACTGTTGACTCATGATTAGCTCTGGTGGCCCATTGAACTCCTTAGTCCATACAAAGTAAGGGTGCTTCACCTTCTATTCTGTTTTTGGGTATGTTGTTTTTAAAATGTTTAGGTTTCCCATAGAAATATCGTCTCACTTTGGCATTTGATACAAAGAAAATAAGCTTGCTTCAGCATGGAGGGCTGCCATAGCCTGTGGAGCTGAAAGCCTGAGGGTTTGGCTGTCAGGAAATCCAGGCCACAGAGCTGTGCCAAATTTGGAACCGGGGGTTGTTTTCTTGCAGTGATCACAGTTTTAATGGGCAAAGAGATGAGCATACTGATGCTCGATGATCTCTGGTGCTTTTTGAATTGGGCGTTAACCAAAACTGACATACTCCTGAGCAAGAGGAAAAACTTAAAGATTAAAGGGAAATGGTAAATGGAACTTGCTTACAAATGCTTTATTAGGTCACCAAAACAGCTAATGGCAGTTGCATGGGAGGGCTCTTCTGATTCAAAGCTTGTCCTAGTTGAAAGAAAACATGAAAGCAATCACAATATGTATGTGTATCTGCCAATGTTTATAGGTTATATAAAATAAATAGGGAAAATGATAGTAATGAATAAAACTTAACAGTTAGAAAATGCAGACATTGATAAAAGGAATTTAAAAGTTATCCAAGAGGCATCCTGGGCCAACAATACAAGAAAAATCCTTCAGTTTTTTTCAGTGTCCTGGAATCAAAGTGGAATCAAAGCAGCAATAGAGTCAATATAAGGTAAGGATGAAAAAACATGGAGAAAATATGGAATAAATATGATTAATAAATATGAATAATAAATATTGCTGCAGTGTATTAGGAAGAGTGCAGGTTGGTTGGTGTTTTTCTCTTACATTGATGTAGAAATGTCTCTTCCAGCAACATCTAGATAGAATTTAAAAATGGCACTTAATAGTATTAAATAAATAAAACTTTGACAGAATTACTTGTTTCAAAGACAATCAAGAGGACCATCTGAAGGTCGATGATATTTGTTTAGTGCATCTCAGAGTATGAGTGAAGTTTCAGAGATAGAGAGAAGAGCTTTTGGATTGCTAGAAGCCATAAACCGTGAATTTGGATAACTGTGACCTTGTTTAACCTGTCAGGAATTTTAGGCAAAATCATGAAAGAAATGATGTGGTACATGATCGATAATTGATGAAGTGGCTATGCAACTAACGCCTATCAGCACCGTTATGCAGAAGAGCATTCTTTTACATTCTTTTATAAAACTTTTTTTTTTTGCTGTTGCTTTCTGTGATTACCAGATTAGCATTAAAAGGTTCAGACAATTTTAAAATTATTGTTATTTTTGAAGGTCAGAAGCTCCCTAAAGAGTGGGTCCATTCTTTCTCACTAGAAAGCTTTAATTCAGCACTAGGTGCTGTTACGAAAGATTAGCAATTGCTTAAACCAAATGCTCAAGCTCAAAACAGAATTTAATGGGGGAAGTTCACTTCCATTATTGTCTTAATACCCTTAATATGTTGTTTTGTTTTCCTGGTGTTGTAGCAGATATGTATTTATAGATGCTATTTTCTTCTCTCCCCCATGTAACATGTACCTTGGCATTTCCGCTTGGTACTTTTGCCATTGCATACTGTGCTATACCTGGTTACATTGTTCTGCCTTTGTCTCAGATCAGGGCAAAGATAGGAATGCAACAGTGAAGAGGTCTTCAGAGTATCCATCACTCCTACTGACACATCTATCTGTAGCCATCTGAGTGTTGTTGCAGCTGCTTGGCAGTACCTGTATTGCCAGTTGTATCTGATGGGCTGGGGATCAGCAGCAGGAGCATTAGGAAGAACATTTGGTAAGTGTCATGGTACTTGTCCTCCGTGTCATTAAATTATTGGTGGCAACAGTAGAGGGGAACGGCCTCATCAGTATTCTTTCAGGGTGGAGCCTTGTAATGTTTTCTGCTTGATGGGCCTTTGTTTGCTTCCGGGCTCCTTCTGGGCTGTTCTCCACAGATGGCAAATGCAGCAGTCAAAGTTCCCCTCAGCAGGAGCCATAACAAATTCCCTTCCAGAACAGAACTTGAGAGCAGGTTTTGGAAGTAAAGCTGTATAGCATTGGCTAATTCATTGTCCTAAAACTGGTCTCTGGCACAGATTTGGCTCTGAACCCATTCAGGACCTGCAGAGACTATTTTGAGCTTTAGAGGGGACCTCTATGTTGGTACTTTCTGCCACACAAGGAAGACTTATTTTGCTCCAGTTTACTGGAGCACTTCCTTAGAAGCTTTTCCAAGTTCTACATCTTTTCCAGGAAAGAAGCATGTGAATGTATCTAAAGTTCCTCTCTAAGTGTTCATAGCTCTTTGTCAGTCTCTGTTGTTACCTGCTGTTTGCATATCTTGGGGCTTGGACAATTTTTCTGCCTTAGAGAGGCATGTATTTCTTCAGTACTTTTACTTCTGTTAGTCCCCTTTTTGTTTCGGAGATGTGTAGCAGAGACCACTTCAGTTACCTGTAGCAGTGTCAGGTGCAGAGGAACAGGCCAGTGAGTTTCTTATTCTCAGTAAAGGACAGTTCAGTTTTGTAGTTTACAAGCCAGCCTTTACGTTGTCAGAATCACAGTTTTTGCAGTTTTCTTTCTTACCCTCTGAGGGGGGTAAGTTGAGTCATCCAGGAACTTGCGGTTTGAATGTTTAAGGACACGTTCCAGTCAAAGAATTGGGTTTACATAACTCTGCTTTCCAGTCAGATGTTACAAGATAGCGAAATGAAAGCCCCAATTTAGTTTAATTAGGGTGGAAAAACAAATTTAAGTGAAAAATACAGAACCTTAAAATTGCTTGGTTTTGTCCCTGCCAACATTGAGGAAAGGTCATCTTACTGTAGGAAGTAGAGTCAGTTAGTAAAGACCTGTAAATGAAATGTCAGTTTTGACTGTTAGTGTGCAACGTAGCCAAAATAGAGGTGTCTTTGGTCTAGGCCACTACAGCAAAGGAAACATGCTGCAGCACGAAGGGAAACAACACCCTGAGGATTAGTCGGGAGGAAGGTGGTGAGTCTGCTTGCTTGCTAGGACCTGTTCTTGGGGGTCTGCTTGAGATTTCTTGATGGGCTCTGTGAGTGCAAGGTGGTTCAGTATTGCTCTTTCTTTGCGTAGCTTTTTTACTTTGTGGCTGGCTGGGGACCCGGTTGACTCTGTCGAGGGGAGCGGCTGTGGTAGAAGGGATGTTACCCTTGTGTATTGGAACCGCTGGCCTGTGGATTGAGCCAGGTTCTATGGCCCAGTGGGGGGTTGGGTGATCCAGAACAGGAGCTCTAAATAAGAACAAGCGTGGTCTGTTGCGCTGTTGGCCTGGTGGGGAAGCACGCTGTTGTCAGATGCAGGAGCTGAAAGTTTCAATCCTTTTTCATAGTGGTGAAAAATCAAAACCTTAAATGCTGGCCTCTGATACCTCTTTGCAAACATTGTGGTTGCCAGCTTATCTCTCTTCTCATGCTGTAGCAGTCCTCCTTTGCCTGTTGTAAATAAGCTAGATAGTAATACTCTGGCATGCTGGCCCTGTGATTCTGTCTTACCAACTAGCATGTGATATACCAGGATTTAAGCTTCAGCTCATTTCCCCAACAGCTGTAAAGGAGCAATGGTGTGAGCCAGCTCTCAGGTGGTTTCCTGTGAAAGAAAGAGTGGAAAGCTTGATCTCGTTAAGAGTTGTTCCATGGTACTGGTAGGATGGTAGGAAGCTGTAGCTGGATTGCCCAGCCTGATCACTGGTGAGGAGCCAAGGATAGCAGAGGAGCTTCCATGAAGAAGCAGGCCCAGTGTTAGGACAGTGATGTGGTTTGTGTA